GTTGATGATTCCCAGCACTGAGAACGCACTGGCCGCTGCCGTCACCAAACTGATGGCGCCGATCGCCCGTGACGCCTGTCAACACAGAAAACCACACAATATCACATCAACAGCCTTATTCCCAATCAGAACATCAAATATTGTTTTACTATTCATTATATAAATAAATCTGAATGGATGTTCTTACAGAAAAGTAGAGGCACATACAGTGATGTGTGTCTGACTAATTATGTAATCATGTATTTAATGGTACTTGACAGCATTTTTGGCTTCAGGCGTTTCTTGAATCAGCAGCATTTTTGGTCGGAGCACCCATGATGCTTCACAATGCATCCTAGCTAGGGAACTCACACATTTGATATGTGCCAAAATCAATGCCATCAGTGCAATTTTTGCAAGGTGCTGATTGAATACTTATGGAAGCCACAGAATGGAAAATAAAAAAAGGTAATTCTGACTTTTTTTTTCTCACAATTGCGTTATAAAAATTCATAATTGTGTTATATAAAGTTGCAATTGCGTGAAATAAAGTCAGACTTCAGATATAAAGTCAGAATTGAGATATAAAGTCAGAATTGAGATATAAAGTCAGAATTGTAAGTCAGAATTGTGAGATATAAAGTCAGAATTGTAAAGTCAGAATTGTGAGATATAAAGTCAGAATTGTGAGATATAAAGTCAGAATTGCATGGAATAAAGTTAGAATTGAGATATAAAGTCAGAATTGCATGAAATAAAGTCAGAATTGAGATATAAAGTCAGAATTGAAATATAAAGTCAGAATTGCGTGAAATAAAGTCAGAATTGAAATATAAAGTCAGAATTGCGTGAAATAAAGTCAGAATTGAAATATAAAGTCAGAATTGAAATATAAAATCAGAATTGTGTGAAATAAAGTCAGACTTGAGATATAAAGTCAGAATTGAAATATAAAGTCAGAATTGCGTGAAATAAAGTCAGACTTGAGATATAAAGTCAGAATTGCATGAAATGAAGTCAGAATTGAAATATAAAGTCAGAATTGCGTGAAATAAAGTCAGAATTGAGATATAAAGTCAGAATTGAAATATAAAGTCAGAATTGCGTGAAAATTGAAATAAAGTCAGAATTGAGATATAAAGTCAGAATTGAAATATAAACTCAGAATTGAAATATAAAGTCAGAATTGCGTGAAATAAAGTCAGAATTGAGATATAAAGTCAGAATTGAAATATAAAGTCAGAATTGAGATATAAAGTCAGAATTGCGTGAAATAAAGTCAGAATTGAGATATAAAGTCAGAATTATGTTATATAAAGTTGCAATTGTGAGTTATAAAGTTAGAATTGAGATATAAAGTCAGAATTGAGATATAAAGTCAGAATTATGTTATATAAAGTTGCAATTGTGAGTTATAAAGTTAGAATTGAGATATAAAGTCAGAATTGTGAGAAATAAAGTCAGAATTGTGTGATAAAGTTGCAATTGCAAGAAATAAACTTTTTTCTCAGAATTGCATGTGTATATCTCGCAATTCTGACTTTTTATTACTCGCAATTGTGAGATAAAAAGTCGCAATTATCTTTTAAAATGTTTTATTCTGTGGCGAAAACAAGCTTTCATAAACACCAAATTCCTGGATTTTTTTAGTTTGGTCTGACCTGTTCAGACACCCCCTCGCCGTAGCGAAGAAGAGTGACGAAGTGTTCACAGTTGCTGCCCAGCAGGTCATATGACACCTCCTGTCCAATGAGGAGCTGAGCTCGCTGGATGATCTCCGAGACGGGCAGCGGCGTGTGATCGTCATCATATTTATTGTTGATCCTGTATGAATCTGTTCCCACAACCTCCTTTAGGAGCTGCATGCGGACCACAGCCTTACGACTGAACACTGACTTCACACTCGACATGGCAGCCGCTTGACTCTCATCTGACGGGAGGAAAACACAAATGCAATTGCATATACATTTTTTTGTGATGCATTTGGACAGTTTTAACATAAAGGAATGCACTTAACATGATGGAAATGTGTCAGTCAGGCATACATAGATGAAACCGTTTTTTATAATAGTACTAATAAACTGATTTAACTGATCAATAAATACAATTTGAACACTGAATATTGCTTGTTACACCGCTAGCCATGTTTTTATATTTTGTAACTGATTAACGGATTTATGCTGATCTAATCTAATCAAATTCAATGAATGCATTTTGAAATTATGATTATTCTGTGATTATTCAGTGTGTATGTGTATTGCTGAGTATTTCCTCCTTAAAACCAAAGACAGTCTCAAAAACACACTTTCTGACGTCACAAACCACCTTGTAACCAATCAGATCAACATCTCTGAGTGAGTGAGTGAGTGAGTGAGGCGGGGCTCATTTGCATATTCATAGAACCACGAGTACTAATTGACGTGAGGGTGTCGAGTTACATTCAAGCTGTTTTAAGGCCTATTTTCAAGGAAAACAATAGATACAGATACAACTTTTGATTTTAATTATGTATTGGTAAATGTTCATGTTAAGCAATGAACTAAACTAATGTAACCTTGTTGTAAAGTGTTACTAAATCTAAATTAATGGAGATTTTAATATGCCATTCAGATACGTGAATCTTAAATTCAGGCCTAAATATTATTTTGAGCTTATCTATATGCTGAGCCACTGACCGACAGGAGTGAGGTTGATGATGTAACCGTCACCCAGGTAAAGAGCCCAGTGCTGATAGGCTGGTCTGAAGATCTCGATGAGGTCACCGGGCTGGGGTTCCTCGTTAGACTGATAATTATCAGGTTCACTGGAGGCCATCTGAAGCAAACAGAGACATATTAGAAAACAGACAGTCATGGGATAGTATAAAAATGACAAAGGAGTCACTTTCAAACTTTTATATTTTATGTGTGCTGTTTCTTTAACAATAACAGACCTAGATTTGACCTTAAGAGGAAGACCTTAGCATTGTCTAGATCAGAAATGTGAATATGAATATACAAGATCGAAGATCCCAAGCAAATTGAACATGGATCACCATAATGGTGACTGCAAAACAATTAGCAATATAATTTCTTACAGTGGAATTTCTTATCATGAGAATTTACAGTAAAACGAGAGCTGTACACTACTCATTTACTCACATTAACTGTTCTTCTATGTTGATTATCCATCATCCCAAAGCATAATTCTGCACTTTCTGAGGGAAAAATAAAAAGGGATCATTAGACAACACTGAAATCAATACTAATAGTACATTTCTAAACATGTTTAAAGTTTCTGAGCGTGTAAAGTGAGTTGTGATGTGAAAACAGCCAGAGAATGCTGGAGTAACACAAGACAATGAAAAGGGTCACCGTTACACAAACACACATAAACACAGGGTCTTACAACACTCACAATGGCATGCAAATAATAGAGAAACAAGTGGAAAGGAGGCATGAAACATTACAGTGTTTATTATCAGCTGGACAGAAATATAATTAACACTTGCATCCTAATCATGTTATTGGACTATTCTTTAAAACAAATGAATATATAACAGATTTCATTTTAATCTTATACATACTAAGGAACGGTTTTATTATCCAGCATTTTACTCAAGAACTGAGTCAGAACCAGCAGTAATACTTACTTATTAGCAGATTTCATCATCAGGATGATTTCAACCCTCCATCGGATATATCCGTGTGATCCCAGAGAAACAAGTGTGTGTTAGTGTGTGTGTGTGTGTTAGGAGAGGAGATTCCAGAGCTGCTGCTGAACGATCTGAACTCACTGAGCTTCTGCGGTCACTCACGGGTCACTCGGCCATTGTGTGGCGCAGCACCTATGGAGTCAAAATAATGACACGTGTGTGTTTGCAAAAAAATTATGCATTGGGATAAAAAAAAAAAAACCGTTGTTTTGCAAACAAAAATAAAGAATTATGAAGTGGTTTCATTTGCAACGCTCCTTTTATTCTGCGTTTCAGTCGGCATCCCCCATAACAATTATTAAGCGCAAACGCTGGGAATACACATTTAGCTGAAAAAAAAAACTTTAAAAAAATCTATTGCTATAAAAGTGTGCGAATTCTTTATTTTTGTTTGCAGAACAAAATTTTCTTTTTAAATAGCTACCTGATTTTTTGGGAAATATATATCGCACACACAGTCTGAGAATAAGTCTTTCAACACATGTTTCTGTTGTTGTATGATGTAAATGTGAGTTTATTCACTTAGGGGTGAAGATCACCTCATAGCTATATTTATTTTTGGTTACACTTTATTATGAGCTGGTCGACTATTTAGCTGGAAATCCAGCTTTTAATGTTGTTTGTTTGTCTATGCGTTGTTTTTAATACGCTTAAACCACGTGTAAGTTCATAAGTGGACAGCATTGCTGAGTATTTCCTCTAAGCGTTTAGTTTATAAAATGACAACCAAAATCTTCGCTTCTATTTAGCTTGTTATATCCAAACATCAAACATTTTTTTTATTAATGCAATGTTAATAAACAGAACAAGTCAAGACATAAGTAGTAAACAATCTATCAAAACAAGGAGACATTATGATACCAAATACATTAAGAGAGGAGATATGAAAAGAAATAACATTATTTTACATTAGTCTTAAAGAAAAAAAGAGCGAAGGAAAGAGAGATGAGGGCATACACGAAAAAAAAAAATAAAACATTAAGGAAGAATATAAGCATGTTTTTGTATAAACCTTATTTTATATATTGGAAAATTTCATATCCATAAAGCTAAATATATGAACAGTAAACCCCACTTTAGCTTTTTCAAAGAAGAATTGAAGATGTATTTAAATACAATTTCAACATCTCTCAATAATTAGAAAGCACTGAAAACATCAAACAAATGAAGATGTGTTTTGCAGAATTATTCGATCTCGCGACACCAGCCAGTCTAGTCAACCTGCATTCCATTCTCGCGAGAGTAGAGGATTGTTTCGATGCATGAGGGTGAGTCTCCTCATTCTCGCGAGACTCTCCCCTGCGTTCTATAACGCCCGTTTGTAAATCTCGCGAGACTATGAGCGGAAGATGGCAGATGGCTCTTCCTCGTAGGGTGTGTGAGTGTGTGTCGTTTGTTTACCGTTAGATGCGTCGCCCCGGTGCGTGTTTCATTCCCGTCCTTCTCCGTTGAGTCACCGGACAGTGTTCATGTTGTGCGGGCTGCTGTTTTCCACCGCTCATCTGTGTAAATATGACGGGAGAGAAGATCCGCTCGGTGCGCAAAGAGCGCAAGGCGGGTTTGGATCTGCTGGAGCCGGACGAGGAACCGGCGGCCACCGGGCCGATAAAAGCCAACCGAGGCAGCAAGATCTTCAGCGGCAGCAACCACAAGATCACCCGCTCCAGTTCTCAGCAGAACCAGAACCACGGGGACACTGACAGCGCGTACCCCGTGCATGAGTGTGTGTTCAGGGGAGACGTGAGGAGGCTGTCATCGCTCATCCGAACTCAGAACATCGCGCAGAAAGACGTCCACGGTGAGACGTGACCTACACACACGATAATAAACAAACTACTCGCTCATAATGACCCAGAATCATGCTGATCTAGAACCCCAGGGACTCAAAAACAGGGTGATTGAGAATCATAATAATAATCCATAACTATGATGATCTAGAACTATAATAATGCCCCAAAACATGGTGATTGAGAATCATAATAATCCAGAACCATGATCATGTAAACTGTTATTATTCATAGTCATGATTATGATGATCTATAACCTTGATAGAACCATACAATGATACAATCATAATGATGTAAACTGCTAATCATAATTACCATGTAAACTGAGTCATAAAGATCATGTTTATCTAGAACTATTGCATTCAAAACATGGTGATCGAGAATCATAGTAATCCAAAGTCATGATAATCTAGAACTGTTATTATTCATTCAATGATGATCATGCTGATCTAGATCCTCAGTGATTCAAAAACATGGTGATCTAGAACCATCCATGATGGTCTTGTACTGTTTTTATTCATAGTTATAATAATCATGCTAACCTCGAACTATAATGCACAAAAAACACGGTGATCGAGAATAATCGTAATCTAGAACTCTTATTAATCAGTCATAATGATCAGGATGATCTAGAACTATAATGTATCAAAACAAGGTGACATGGTATGCATGGCATTGAATATTACCGAACTCTCCGACAGTGGGATCTCTATGCGGGTTATTTGATCGTTGTCATAAATATAAATAAAAAATGTCTGTAATTAAAGCAAAAATGCTTGATAAACATGCCTTTGGTATGATTATTTATTTAAATCAAGTTTGTATTGATTTATTTGATCTCAGTGCTGTTCAAACACACCTAATGCCCAAAAGCAGAAACAAAGCAAAGTATTTATGTCATTGTATTTTTTTCCACTAATTTATTTAATGAATAATAATGCATTTGTTATTTATTTTAATCAACGTGTCGGATGTACTTTGGGTGTCTTGTTCATTATATTTATTTTCATATAAAAGCGACAGAACTCTGTCTCTGATCCGCTTTAGTTTAGAGATCTGTCCGTCTTGCCTGTGCTTTTTAAACTTCACTTAATCTCCGGCGAGGCGAGGCGAGGCGCGTCTGGAACGAGTCGTGTGACTGTGAGTGACTCAGTTCTGTCTTGTCTTGCAGGAAACACTCCTCTTCATCTGGCGGTGATGATGGGGCATAAAGGTGAGTCGCTCGGCTCCAGGAAAGCTCAGGGCTGGATCCTCAGGATCAGGAGTTTTGGACTTGAGAGAAAGTACAGATACTACTGGTCAAATATTACAACACTATAGTATAAGTAAAAGACCTATTTGTACCTAAAGGGGTGATGTAATGGTTCATGCACTGTTACGAGATGATTGCACTGAGATGTGTGTCGGCAGTGCCTGTACAACCATCATATCATGATAAAAATCCATCCGGTGTTTTTGTTTTAATCTCCTAATACGTTTTCCCCTGCCTCAAATCGAGCCGTTCGACTGTGTGACACGTTCGATATCACATGGCGGATGCCCCTCCCACGATTGTTGATTGACAGCAGCGTTTCGACACAGACCCGCCCTGAGTGAGCGAGCGGTCATCATAGTCCGCCGTTGTTGATACGCTGGAGCAGAATAGCGTCTAAGCGATTGCCAGTGCACACAAAGATAGATCAAAGTGACATTTTGTTAACCGACCAATCAGAAACGTCCTGTTCGTGTCGAACTTCTTTGCGGCCGTCATCTTGTTCTGGTGCGACTCCGGTTCAAACTGATACGGTTGCACAGATGTGTCCTCAGAGACTCCCGCTGCCATTCTCTCTCCAAAATATCCCTCAGCTGTTGTCAAGGCAACACTCCACGGTCCGCACAGAACAGAGGGGCGGAGTCAGCAAAGCTCATTATCATTTAAAGGCACATGCACTGAAACGGCGTGCTGAAAACTGCTGTTTTTGACCGGGTAAAATTAGTGTTTTCTTACAGTACTAATGAGAATTTTTAATTAAAGTATATTACAAACTTTTTACGTAGACACTAAAGAATCATATTAACTTGTATACAAATGGCATTATATGACCTCTAGTACTTGTTTTTAATTGAAAATAGTAAATGTCAAATCATGGTTTTATTATTGTTGCTTTGTTCGAGTACATTACGCCTCTGAAGCGACCGAGTAAAACTCCAGTTAGTCGAATATAACAACACCTATAGAAGTTAATTGACCAAAAAAGACACTTTTCACATCAAATTTAGTTCTTATTCTCTAATGAATTAACTACTAGAATGTTTATTTGAGAGCATGTTTTTAGAATTACATTAGAATTATGATGCAACACATGGCCTGAAATCTCCCGCTGGATTTGTCCGTATTTTATCATGAAGTCGATGTGCTCTTTAAGGAACGCTGAATGCATGTGTGTGTGAAATATTAATGCACGGCTCCCCTGAGTTGACGACTGTACACTCTAATTTCATTAATATACTACAAGCTTATTAATAATTTAAGCGGGTTATTCTCCCCGGTGAGACTGTACAAGAAGGCTTCGCTCAGGGTTTGTTCTGTTACACACACACACACACACTCGACCCGTCCTGATTCACGTGTGTGTGTGTGTCTGGGTTGCACTTCTGCGCTCGCGTGGCTTGTGTTTAGTGCAGCAAAAACGCTATTAGGTTGATCGTATTAGTAGAGCTAATTTTACATTTATTTCTATTTATGTATTTGCATCTTTTTTATTTATTGGACTTCTTTAAAAAAAATCGAATTTATTTATTTAAATCATGTTTTTGTATATATTTATTTACATCACATTGTGCTTGAGCAGAAGTGTGTGTGTTGAGCCGAATGTGCGAAGCAGCATTTCTAGCAGAGAGAAGGACATTGTTCAGCACTAACAGAGCTGTGTGTGTGTGTGTGTGTGTGTGTGTGTGTGTGTGTGTGTGTGTGTGTGTGGCGCTTCATGTGCGGTCAGTTGTAGAAGGTCACAAAACACTTTGGCAGTGATACAAACCTGCTGCCCGTCAGTGTGTTTCTCTCAGCGGTTACAGAGAGCAGAGCTGTGTGTGTGTGTGTGTGTGTGTGTGTGTGTGTGTGTGTGTGTGTGTGTGTGTGTGTGTGTACAGCTACATCCGTGCGAGGACAAAATGTCCCCACAAAGACAGTAAAACTTGAGATTTTCTACTTCATGAGGACTTTTTGTTGGTTATCACAAGGAAAATTTATTAAATAAACTTAATAAATGTGTTTTTTGAAAACGTAAAAATGCAGAAAGTTGTGTGTGTGTGATGGGTAGGTTTAGGGGTCGTGTTAGTGTGTGTGTGTGAGAGATGGGTAGGTTTATGGTCAGGTTAGTGTATGTATGTGTGTGTGTGTGTGTAAATATGCACAGTGTGTGTTTTCCCAAAGGCCCGATGACCAGCTTGACCTTCATCTCCAGTCTGACAGATGAAGAGTTTCTTTTGCGTTGACACACACTGGCAGACGTTTCGTTCAGCTTCTGCATGACGATACACAGACGACTGTATGAGTGTGTCCGTCAGCGCTGTAGAGTGTGTGTGTGTGGATCTGAACACTGAGTTCCTCTGAGGAAGAAGAGCGGTGTTAAATTAAGCTCTCGCTCCTCCTCTCACGATTAAATCGGGATGTTTCAGTGAACGATTCCCTCTCTGCGCCACACACACATCTCAGTGGCGGACCGAAGCGTGTGTGTGTGTGTGTAGCCCAACTGTAATGCATAATAAAACATCAAAGAAAGTGTTATTTATTGTAAAGATGCATAAACATGAGTGAGTGAGTGAGTCTGTGAGTGAGTGAGTGAGTGATTCAGTGAGTGAGTGAGTGAGTCAGTGAGTGAGTGAGTGAGTGAGTCAGTGAGTGAGTGAGTGAGTGATTCAGTGAGTGAGTGATTCAGTGAGTGAGTGATTCAGTGAGTGAGTGATTCAGTGAGTGAGTCTGTGAGTGAGTGAGTGAGTCAGTGAGTGAGTGAGTGAGTCAGTGAGTGAGTGAGTGATTCAGTGAGTGAGTGAGTCAGTGAGTGAGTGAGTGAGTCAGTGAGTGATTCAGTGAGTGAGTGAGTCAGTGAGTGAGTGAGTGAGTCTGTGAGTGAGTGAGTGAGTGAGTGATTCAGTGAGTGAGTGATTCAGTGAGTGAGTCTGTGAGTGAGTCAGTGAGTGAGTGAGTGAGTGAGTCAGTGAGTGAGTGAGTGATTCAGTGAGTGAGTGAGTCAGTGAGTGAGTGAGTCAGTGAGTGAGTGAGTGAGTCTGTGAGTGAGTCTGTGAGTGAGTGAGTGAGTGATTCAGTGAGTGAGTGAGTCAGTGAGTGAGTGAGTGAGTCTGTGAGTGAGTGAGTGAGTGATTCAGTGAGTGAGTCTGTGAGTGAGTGAGTGAGTGAGTCAGTGAGTGAGTGAGTGATTCAGTGAGTGAGTCTGTGGGTGAGTGAGTGAGTGAGTGAGTGAGTGAGTGAGTGAGTCAGTGAGTGAGTGAGTGAGTCTGTGAGTGAGTCTGTGAGTGAGTGAGTGAGTGAGTGATTCAGTGAGTGAGTGAGTCAGTGAGTGAGTGAGTGAGTCTGTGAGTGAGTGAGTGAGTGATTCAGTGAGTGAGTCTGTGAGTGAGTGAGTGAGTCAGTGAGTGAGTGAGTGAGTGAGTGATTCAGTGAGTGAGTCTGTGGGTGAGTGAGTGAGTGAGTGAGTCAGTGAGTGAGTGAGTGAGTGAGTGAGTCAGTGAGTGAGTGAGTGAGTCAGTGAGTGAGTCAGTGAGTGAGTCAGTGAGTGAGTCAGTGAGTGAGTCAGTGAGTGAGTGAGTGAGTGAGTCAGTGAGTGAGTCAGTGAGTGAGTGAGTGAGTCAGTGAGTGAGTCAGTGAGTGAGTCAGTGAGTGAGTCAGTGAGTGAGTGAGTGAGTCAGTGAGTCAGTGAGTGAGTCAGTGAGTGAGTCAGTGAGTGAGTCAGTGAGTCAGTGAGTGAGAGCGTTTGTGTGTGAGAGCGAGAGAGGGAGTGAGTGTTTGTGTGTGTGTATTGTTTATCAGTGTTTGTTTGTGTGTGTGAGAGAGAGAGAGTGAACACAATCAAGGGCATTTATAACGTCAAAGCAAATACTATCAGATAAACAAATACAGTAACAAAATAAAGATATAAGTTGATTTCCGTCTCTATAAATCATTCAAGAGACGAAGAGATGAAGTTTCTGAGCAGAAGTGAAGATCTCTCTCTCTCTCTCTCTCTCTCTCTCTCTCCCTCTCTCCAGAGTGTGCTCATCTCCTGCTGGCCCACAATGCACCAGTGAAGGTGAAGAACGCTCAGGGATGGAGTCCGCTCGCCGAGGCCATCAGTTACGGGGACCGCCAGATGAGTACGCCACTCCTTTACTTGATGATTATATTTTGTTTTTTATTTGAAAGTTTTGTGTTTTTCACATTTAAAAAAAATTTCAACATAGTTTTTTATTAACTTTAATTTATTTCAATTATTTTAGTACTTTAATAAAGTTTAAAAAACTCGTTGATTCTGAGTTCCCCGGACAGAATCAAATACTGTGTTCTGATTGGCTGCTCTGTAACGGCTGGAGTTCCTCTGTGTTCATGGTCAGCTGTGTGTGCCGATGAAAAGAGCTTCATTAGGACACGAGTGTGTGTGCGCGTGTGTTTGAGAGTGTGTGCGTGTGAGAGAGTGAGTGAGAGTGTAAGTGAGCTTGAGTGTGTGTGTGTGTGTGTGAGTGAGTGTAAGTGTGTGTGAGTGTGTGTGTGTGTGTGTGTAGCTCTTCCTTTCAGGACAGCAATAGTCCAAATGAAATGAGTGTGTTTGTTGTGGTGAATTAAAGCGGCCGGTGTGTGTCTCCGGATTAAATCTCACTCTGGATTACGTTTCACCGTCATTAATTCACTGAAAAGCCTTTTCAGCCTCGAGTGTGTGTGTGTGTGTGTGTGTATCAGTCTGTGTTAATGAAGAGCTCGATCGGTTAACGAGGAACTGCTCACACTTTACATACGACACATTTGCATTGGACTGTGTGTGTGTGTGTGTGTGTGTGTGTTAGAAATGCAAAACATGCGGTTCAGATGAAATTTCGTCACATAATAAATATTGCAGTTTACAATCAGTTCTCATTTTTTGATTTTTTAAAATCTGTTTTAATTGTTATAATCAAAAATGATGTCTGAAATGATTAGAATTCTTTAAACTTTAACAATGTAATAGTTTAATTGTCTATTTTAAAAGTTGTTTGGTTTCAATGTTTTTTTTTTCAAAATAACTTTATTTTCCACAGAAGAAGATAGCGAGAATGAAATATACAAACAACCACAATCTTTTATTAGAGAGATCTCTGTCGTCCAGTCCGAGTGTTTCTGACATCATCACGGAATCAGCCAATCACAGTGCTTTATCTCGGGGATGAGGAGATTGATTTGGAGCCACTCGTTAGGAAACCCCATTAGAGAGCTGCTCATTAACACACACACACACACACACTGCGCTCATTATGGTGTGATTCCTGCTGTGGTGTGACGCTGAGACTGGTTTATTTCTGTCGTGCTGTGGGTGTTTCTGTGTCAGTCAGTGTGTGTTAATGACTGATCTCTCTCACACACACACACACACACTCTCTCTCTCTTTAAATAACTATTTTTACAATGATTATAATTTTTGAGGTGTCTTTTTACAATTGTGTTTTGATATATTATTATGTATATTTATATAATAGAAGAAGCTGAATTTATATCTTTCCGTTGCTCAAGGTCACTTACATTGTACATTACTATACATTTACAGACACACACACACACATTACATCACATAAGGACACATTATACAAAATACTTGTTAAAGAGATTTGTTTTTAGCTCAGTCTTGTAATAATTAGAGCCCGACCGATAAAGGATTTTGAAGGCCGATACAAATATTTTTGGGTTTTAAAATCCGATATTCCGATATATCGGCCGATATTTTATTTATTTATTTATTTATTTTTAAACTGGACATGATAGTCACAAATTTTGTCCTGCTTATTAGAGTTCAGAGAACTGATGCGGATGATCTTTTAATTGTTATTCAAGCAATGTATGTCTCGTGACCAACTTAACGAGTGTTGCCGACAGGAACGGTGTAGAGTGCCCTCTGGTGGACAAACTATACAACTCCAACACTCATGACATGGTTCAAGCGTGTTTCGTCCGTTTTTATTTTATTTTGAAATATTCATTTATCGGCCATTATAACTGCAGATACCGATAGTTTGGAAAATGCCTAATATCGGCCGATAATATCAGTCTGCCGATATATCGGTCTGGCTCTAGTAATAATTAATAATAATTTTATGGTGTCCTGACTCCTGATAGAGGAAGCTAATGGTGTGTGTGTGTGTGTGTGTGTGTTGCAGTCACGGCTCTGCTGAGGAAGCTGAAACAGCAGTCGAGAGAGACCGTGGAGGACAAGAGGCCTCGTCTCCTTAAGGCTCTGAAAGAGGTGCACAAACACGAGCTCATCTAACCACACACACACACACACACACACACACACTCATTGTCATCAGAGACTCACGATCTGATGTGTACATATACAAAATCACAGTTAGCTAAAAATGTATTCATTTAAATAATGTAATAATCGAATGCAGTGAGCAATGAGCTCATTTTCATATCTCGTTTTTTTTTTTTTTTTTTGTGGTTCTGTATGTACTTGTTTGTCAAATAAGTGTAATTGTTGTTGTTTTTGTTTGTTTATTTTGATTCGTGTTCTTTTGTAATGGCTGTGATTTACTTTAGGACCCCCTCGAAAACGAGATGTTGCATCTCAAGGGGTTTATCCTAATCAAATAAATTACAACGCGAAATACTTGTTAACAAATGATTGACATTTAGCAAATCGTGAGCTTAGAATTATAAGGTTCTGTCTCCGTTTAGGGCAGTTCTGAGATATTGAGCATCAAAGTTTTTACATCCCAGCTGACAAAACTGTTATGTAGTATAATCTTCTATTATAGCTTTATCTATTAATCTTTTTTTTTTTTTTTTTTTTTACAAAAATAACACCACACAGGCATTAATAAATTTATGTCAAAAACTCCATTTTGACCAAAAGTGGAGACAGAACCTTATAATTCTAAGCTCACGAAATGTAGCATTGGTGTGTGTTGATTCAGAGTTTGTGTTCCCAATCAAATAGAAAATATTCATAATTGTTCTTAACATCAAGAAAAAATAATCATGTGTATTTGAGGTGCGTTAGATGAGGAGATGCGTCTCTAATCTAGAGTCTGAAATCAGACGCCCAGAGTCTGCGATAGAAGTGCATGCATGTCGTTTCTCAAGCTGCCCCGATTGCTCTAACTGAGTGACGTCTGTCGTTCTGCAGCTCGGGGACTTTTATCTGGAGCTCCACTGGGACTTCCAGAGCTGGGGTGAGTTTGCTAATGAGGGTCTGTGTGTTCGTTTGTGTTTGCGGTCGTTATCACGAGGCTGTGTCAGGATGAGCCACAGGACGGAGCTCTGTGTGTGTGTGTGTGGCAGACAGGAGGGAGTGTGTACAGTGATGACGCCATCTTTGTGGGCGTGGCTTTCACCTCAACACTGACACTCCCCTTGCTGGACAAACACTGTCACTGCGGTCCTGATCTAACTCTACCTCTGCATGAGGATATTGAAGATTTTTTGATATTTTCATAATTAAGAGTTTTTAATACTCAGATTACATTTTATATTTTAATCTTTAAGTATTAAAAATATATTTTATGGTTTTAGTTTAAGCTTTAGTTAACAACAGCAACCCTGATACCTCATCATTTCAAGAATTTTGACTTGGAAATGTGCTCAATTGTCATTAAAAAAATAGTTTTTGTTTTCTATGGGAGAAATATGAGCTGATCCTGTTTAGCTTTCATGAGGCGCTCTCTCTGTTTTCAATGAAATGTTTTGTATTCAGTGGCATTACATGTTGAATAGGCATTTTGCTGCAGATTGTGTGTGTAAAAGTCGTTCATTTTCTGTTCCTCAGTGCCTTTACTGTCACGGATCTTGCCCTCCGACGCCTGCAAGATCTACAAACAGGGAATCAACATCCGGTACGCTTCATCTCCTGTAGCGGGTCTGAATCTGAATTCACTCGCCCTCACGTCATCCAAGATGTCCATGTCTTTCTTTCTTCAGTGGAAAAGAAATGAAGGTTTTAGAGGAAAACATTCCAGGATTTTCTCCATATAAGGGACTTCAATGGGGACCAACGGGTCGAAGGTCCCTATAGACCATTTCGCAAGATGTAAACAACACTGGTCCAGAAGCACTTCCTGTTTCAGTTTTTTTAACGCTACATAAATACTGGGATAAAATACAACCAACAGAACATTTAAAACTGAATCAAAAAGTTAAACAAACATCTTTAAGATGTTTTCTTTACATGTGAAATAAAGAAAACAGTTACAAACTGAAACAGGAAGTGTTTCCCCTTAAAAACCTTCATTTCTAATATTACTTTAATCACTGAAGAAAGGAAGACATGGACATCTTGGATGACGTGCGGGAGAGTGAATAATCAGCAAGTGTTAATTCTGAAGTGAACTCCTCCTTTAACGAGGGTGTATTTGAAATTTTCTTCTTTAATGATGATTTTTATCAAGCTTGTATATTTAAGTTCAGTGATTTCACTTAAATGGCAATGATAATTACCTATTAATTGTTATTTAAGTGAAATTACTGAACTTAAATATACAAGCTTGATAAAAATCATCATTAAAGAAGAAAATTTCAAATGGCATTTAGAGGCTTTTGCATCTGAACTCTTCATTTAGTGATCGTTAGTTTGACAGGAAACACTTACTAGTTTCTGTCACGTTCACTCGAGGAAACACCAGGGAATTATAGTGAAGTGTCTCTGGAGGGTTTGTTGACATGTTTGTGTTGTTATGATCAGAAATGTGAGTGTGTGTGTGTGTGTTTGTGCTGTAGTTTGGACACTACACTGATCGATTTCACGGATATGAAGTGTCAGCGAGGAGACCTGAGCTTCATCTTCTGCGGAGACGCCGCTCCCTCCGAGTCCTTCGTGGTTCTAGACAACGAGCAGAAGGTTTTCCAGCGGATTCATCACGAGGTACGTTCGTCATCACGACTGCGCTGTGTAACGTGTAGAGGTGTAAGGCAAGGCAAGTTTATTTATATAGCACATTTCATACACAGTGGCAATTCAAAGTGCTTTACATGGAAGAAATTAAAATAATCAAAAGAAATCAGAATAATTAAAACAGTTTAGAATAAAAAAAAATCATAATAATAAAAATAAAATACAGTAAATAATTAAAACAATTTAGAATGAAAAATAAAATGAAGTACAGTAACAGTGGGACGAACAGTGGCACAGTGTAGGGGTGTAACGATGTAAGGGATCATGTACATCCATCCAGGTTCTCTCAAAATATCTAGTGGCTGACCGATATATCGGCCGATATTTGACATTTTTTAAATATCGGCATCGGCTGATGCGTTTTTCTGATTGGCCGATGTGTTGGGAGCAGGACTTTTATTTTGACGAGTGGCATAATCCGTGTGTGTGTGTGTGTTTCAGGAGTCTGAGATGGAGACGGAGGAAGAAGTGGACATCCTCATGAGCAGCGACATTTACTCCGCAACGCTTTCCACTAAATCCATCACCTTCTCGCGCGCGCAGACCGGCTGGCTCTTCCGAGAGGACAAAACGGTCAGTGTGATCTATAGCCAAGTATGAAATATGATGATGTGATGTAGTTAAAGTCAAGAAGAAGAGGAAGTTACACTCATCTTTTCTTCACTATTATGACGTACACGTTTGGGATCGGTAAGATTTCTAAATCAGATTAAAAATGCAACAAAAAAACGGTAATATTGTTAAATATCATGTTTTTTTTTATGTGAATATTTAGTACTTTGATCACAGGAATAATGCTGCGTTCATGTGCGTTCAATGGTAATTATGGTAAATACCAAAAGCCGACGTGGAAAATGCACATGAACACCCCCTCATGTGGTATTTTCCACTGGGCAACTCGTAGGATATTTTGATGGACGAGTTGCCGAGATGAGATAACCTTTGAACCTTTTTTAAAATGACGGAGAGCACCGCAAGAGTCGTGAATGGTAAAAAAAAATACTATTCATGATCTAGAAAATAGATAGCATATTATTTACCTTTTGAGTTTTTATTAGGGCTGTCAAACGATTAATCGTGATTAATCGCATCCAAAATAAAAGTTTGTGTTTGCATAATATATGTGGGTGCACTGTGTATAATTATTTTGTATATATATAAATACACATAAATGGATATATATTTAAGAAAATTTTTTTATTTATATATAAAATATTTTTATTTTTATATAATATAAATTATATATAAATCTATATAGAGTATATAAATGAAAATATTTCTTATTTATACTGTATAGAAGCATTGGTATGTATTTATATATATATATAAAATAATTATACACCGTGCATCCACATATATAAACACAAACTTTTATTTTGGATAAGATTAATCGCGATTAATCGTTTGACAGCCCTGGTTTTTATAAATCATTTTCTTGCTGTTGCAGATGACTTAAGCAATCTAAAATAGTTTTAGCTTAAATAACAGGTCTGGATCTCCATCTTTTTACCACATTACGACAACAAAAGCACTTGAACGCAACACACTGGTAAATACCAGTTCACAAGTGGAAAATATCCTACTTTCCATAGCACGTGAACGCAGCATAAATGACACTTTACCATATATTCACATAAAAGACGGCTCTTTTACATACTCACTTTAGTTTTGATCAAATAAATGCAGTGTATATCCGAGGGAAACGCTTCTGAAACAATAACAAATGTGGGCGGGGCTTGATTTTGTCTGCGGGTAGTTGATTGGATGGATGTGGTTTCCTATTGGTGGATCTCATGTGAGTGACAGGTTAGAGCCCCGCCCATCCCTATTCTCTCCGGGTCTTGTGAAGCCTTCTGAAAGCACCTTGTTCCCGCAGGAGCGTGTTGGGAACTTCTTGGCTGATTTCTACATGGTCAACGGTCTGGTTCTGGAGTCCAGGAAGAGACGCGAGCACTTGAGCGAGGAGGACATACTGAGGAACAAGGCCATCATGGAGAGCTTCAGCAAAGGCGGGAATCTCATCGAGCAGAACTTTGAGGTGACCGCTGTGTTCCCCCCTCTCTCTCTCTATATTGACACATATATATTGACATATATATATATATATATATATAATTATATATTGTTATATATATATAACTTTTTCATGCTCAAACAGCAACATTAAAGAGTAAAAAGCATAATAGGCCGTCTTTAAAGTTTGTTTAATAATGTTCTCTCTCTCTGTGTGTCCTGATAGCCGACGAGGCGCCAGTCGCTGACCGCTCCGTCCCCGAACACGATCTCCTGGGAGGAATACATCACCGCCGAGACGGGAAAGTACGTCAGATATGAGTGTTTTGTGAGAGGAATTCAATTTACAAGTATTTGTAAAGCGCTTTTCACAACACACATCATTTCAAAGCAGCTTTACAGAAAGTACACGAGTCCACGTTACAGTTCACAGTGATCAAGGACCGGTTTCACAAAACTGTTTTAGATCTATAGTGCTCAGACTAGTCTAATGTTTCACAAAAATAAAGTCTGACTTAAAGGATTAGTTCACTTTAAAAAAAACTTCTGCTGATAATTTACTCGCCCCCATGTCATCCAAGATATCCATGTCTTTCTTTATTCAGTCGAAAAGAAATGAAGGTTTTTGATGAAAACATTCCAGGATTTTCTCCATATAATGGACTTCAATGGGGTCCAAACGGTTCAAGGTCAAAATGAGAGTTTCAGTGCAGCTTCAAAGGGCTTTAAACGACACCAGACGATGAATAAGGGTCTTATCTAGGACACTTCGAGTCATGACTCGAAAAAAGATTTGTTCATTTTGATAAACGAGTTCGAACAGGAGAGTCACGAACGCGCATCACAGAACAGAGCAAGGCGAGTATTTGAGCTTATAAAGCTTAAACTTTTGTATTTATTTTTGAAATGAGCGCTCGTTTCGCTTGATAAGACCCTTATTCATCGTCTGGTGTCGTTTAAAGCCCTTTGAAGCTGCATCTGAAACTCGTTTGGACCTTGAACCGTTTGGACCCCATTGAAGTCCATTATATGGAGAAAAACCTTAATTTCTTTTCGACTGAAGAAAGAAAGACATGGACATCTTGGATGACATGCGGGTGAGTAAATTATCAGCTAAAGTTTTTTCAAAAGTGAACTAATCCTTTAATTTAGACCAAAAAAAGGACTCTGTTACCGTGGCAACCAGCAGCAAAAATCAGTTTGGAAAAGGGGAAATGACCTTTTCCAAATTTAACATATCTTCTTGTTGCCACATTCTCCGCTAAATCTCCCAGTAAAATGTCCTTGTGACTGTTACACTCCTCCAACACACACACATCTCCCGCTGGGGTAAACTGCACCGAGCGGTTGAATGCGCTTACTCCATCCGCCATGTTTTTTGTTTTGAAAAGTGTCTTATTTTACCCAGAATGCATTGCAGTGTAGTCTTCAGTGCTTTGTGCAGGTTGCGTTTTTTGTGTACCACCTTTCACAATACAGTAATACTGTATATTTACAGTAATACCTGCACGATCCACAGATGTTCTGTTGTCCGCAGGGCTCCTCATCTGGGCCGAGAGCTCGTGTGTAAAGAGAGCAAGAAGAACTTCAAGGCGACGGTGGCCATGAGTCAGGACTTCCCTCTGGGCATCGAGTCGTAAGTGTCCCGCTCCCTCTCTCGCGAGTCCAGCCGCTGTCCGCACGCTCACTGATCTCAGATCATCTGACTTGTTTTACAGGCTGTTAAATGTTCTGGAGGTCATCGCACCCTTCAAGCACTTTAATAAACTCAGAGAATTTGTTCAGATGAAACTCCCACCTGGATTTCCTGTCAAATTAGGTAAAGACACATTTACTATATTCTTTTGTAACATTATAAATGTCTTTACTGGCACTTTAATGTATCCTTGATGAATAAGAGTATTCATTTCTTTCCCAAAAAACAAAAATAAAGCGTACTGACTGACGCCAAACTTTTGAACGGTAGTGTTTGATTTCAGATAAATGCTGTTCTTTTGAACTTTCTATTTCAACACTGATGATTTGCTGCTCAAGAAACATTTAGGATTATTAGCATATTAGAGTGATTTGTGAAGGATCATGTGACACTGAAGACTGGAGTAATGATGATAAATTCAGCTTTTGAATAAATTACACTTTACTGTATATTCACATAGAGAACAGAAGATTTATATATATAAATATATATATATATGTATATATTTATTTTTTTATTTTTTTAACAATATTAGTTTTTTTTTGTATTTTGGATTGTTTGGCTTTACAGCAGCTCTACAATTTATTGTCCAGATAAAGTTAGTTTTGTATATAGTATATATATATATATATGGGGTTTTCAGAAGCTGTAATCCATAATTATATTGAAATATCTCACTTTAATGAGTCTATATAATATATTAGTTTCACTTTTTAAGTTGAATTACTGAAATAAATGAACTTTTGCAGGATATTCAAATTTTTCCAGTTTCACCTGTGTGTTACGATGATGTTGATGATGTGATGATGATGTGATTCCCGCCCCCAGACATCCCGGTGTTCCCCACCATCACCGCTACCGTGACCTTTCAGGAGTTCCGCTACGACGAGTTCGACCAGTCCATTTTCACGATTCCCAGCGAATACAAAGAGGATCCCAGCCGCTTCCCTGACCTCTGAGCCGTCCCAACTTACCCCGTCGACCCCGTCTCCATCTCCTCCCGAGACGTTTGCAGATGGAGAGCAGCGAGCTTCATGTAGACAACACTTGCAACACGGACACAAAGGGATCGTGCTGAAAGAAAACGGGTTTGCACTACATGACAACACCGAGTTTCGCGAGAAAGAAGCTCGGGACATTACGACACGCTAGAAACACTTCACATCACTGTAACTGGCAGGAAATATGGCATTATAAATTATTACATAAGCCGCGTTTTCAGATATATATATATCTTTGTACAACTGTTACAAACTTGTATACTTCACTTAAAGGAAACGTGTATATTTAGGAAAGAAGTGGGAGGCGTGTGTGTGTGTGTGTGTACATGATTTGAATTATATGTCATTTCTACAGTGTATATATACCAGCTTGTCCTTTTGTGTTTTTGTTGCATTATGGGAAATGGGCTTGTCACGTTCTCCTTCACTGTGTTTTCTTTGCTTTCTCACATCCTAATAACTAGTGTTCCCGAACCGTGAGGAGCGCACAGAGCCGGATGTAAATGTAGCAGGAACGTTTCGATGGACGGGAACTTTCAGCCGCTGCATCCCGTCGGTTTGGTTTAACTTTTTCACCTTGATAGATGGATGTAAATAATTTAAATTTAAAAATGTTTTCCAATGTAGTATAATTGACATGTATAACTGACGAGTACGTTTATTGAGATATTACTGTGGCGTTTCCAGAGACGTTTGGTGATACGGCTACGACATCTTTCTGGAGTGTTTTATATGTTTTTGCTGTGTGCCGAGGGAAAAGAAAATCCTGACATGTTTGCACCAGCAAAATCCCTTTGGAAAATGTTATTTTTATGTTTTATGAGTTTCGTTTTTTCCTCCTCAGAATGTAAACGAGCTCCAACACTTCCATGACCCACTACTGGCTAGTGTGGACAACTCTTGTGTTTTACTGTATTCCTTTTTTATTTTTAATACCAGCTTCTTTCCCTGTGTTTTTCATTGTTTTTAGATTTGCTTTGTCTTCAGTACTCAAGATTTTCTCCCAGATGCATTGAGCTCCTTGATGTACAGCAGGAACCTTGTATGAACCTGCTGGACTTTTACATGACAAATTGTAATTAATAAAATGTCCACGTATCAATCTCTGGTCATACTGTTTTATTAGCAAGATATTGATGATATTCAAACTCATGAGGGGTGTGGCAATGGTGGTGTTTTCCGTGTATTTATTTCAAAGATGTAAACATCTAACCCAGGTGAAAAAGGTACAGAGAATTGTAAATCTAGATGGTTCTATCTATCTACAGTCTCAAAATGCTACTCAATTAAAATTTAATTTTCTTTAAAAGTAAATGTTGTCGTTTTGGAAATTAGCTGATGAAATATTAACTGAAGATTTAAGTAAATTTATTGCGGTTAGCAATTGGTTCAATAAAAATTCTCGACGTAACGTTAGTTCTACAAAGAAAAATCAGCGGTTTGCTTGAATGCTTGATTCTGATTGGTCAATCGCGGCGCTCGGCGGGAAGATATTCCACGTATTCACGCAAATGCTGTTTTGACCGCAGAAGTCGAAGTCCGCCTCAGAGAATAAAGTTAAGTAAAAATATTATTTTATAGACCTTATGTAGTCTTGTCTTTTGACATCCGGTCTGTTTCATAGCGATCTGCATTGGTATGAATGAACTGCTCGTAAAAAAATTCCCGGTCGACATTTGTTAAGACGTCTGCTTTACAATGCTCATAATAACTTTTGTTAACTCTACAATAAGTCAATCCACTTCACCAGCTAATTACTCCTCGACAGCGATGCCATAGAAATATTCAGAGCGACCGCAAAAACGGAAGTTCAAAGACAATATTCTAAAGATGGCGGCGCCCACGTTTCTCTGCTTTGGAGTCACGAATGGTAGCTATGTATATTGTATTAGACTATTTTTTCGGTGGTGCAATTTTCAGGTAAATGTATAGAAACCTTTAGCTTGAGTCGTTAGTTTTGACTAAACCAGTCTTCTGTTACGTTAATGTCGTGTGAAAAGCCATAGGCTAAGTTACCTCAGAATTTCGCGCCATCTTGTCATGCCAAATTAAATGCGGACAAAAGACCTTAAGAAACATTTTGTATACAACAGGAACCAGACTTAAAGGTGAGTATAATTTCTTCTTAACGTCAAACCTAGCAATGGAGAAAGTAGGAGCCAAGAATTTTATATGAAGTTTTATTTTTGTAACATTGCAAACCGTACAGATAAATCAGTTTCTTAGCAAACTACAGTCTATGATGACGGTGTGTTCACTACAGATAAACACATCGCAGCAGATACAGCTGGACTGTTTAAAGACCTGCGAGAGAAAGTAATCCAGTTTACATGTTTCACAAACGTTCTGCAACTTTAAAAAGACAAACATCTTCCACCTAACTCAGGCTAACTATAAAAAAACGAATGCAATATCATTAAAAGAAGAAAAAGAAAAAAACACTGCTTGACAACGTTATCCAAGCACTTTAATCAGAAGGTAATTGCTTTAAATAGAAACTGCAAACAGACACAGCGAATGGTTGTTTTCAGGGAGAAATCGACTTTTCTACACTAAATTTACAGTATAACACCGTTCCACATCAGCCATGGGGAAAGAAACAGCTCTAAAATCAGAGAGAACATTAAGACGAGGATGTACCAGTAAATACAGCAGATTCTGAGGATGCAGAGTTTTAAAAAAACCAAAGGGGAATGAGTGAGTTCAGAGAGGAAAGTTAGTAGAATGATCTAGGACGAGCTTTCCTTCATCTGAACTCTATTTAACAATACATCTCAGACACTGATCAGTGGGAAAGGGCCGTTTCAGTCGCTCATGTCCATGTCTTCGTCTCGCTGGTCTTCACTGTTTCCATCCGATTCGCCACGACCCGCATCGTCAGCACTGTCTACTTGAGCCTCTTTGACCTGCGGCGATGAAGCGGCGTCTGAGTTTCTCTCTCGCTCTTCTTCATGCTCGCTATCGTAGCCCTGCTCTTCCTCATCGTAATCTCTGGTCACCTGCAGTGTATAGAATTCAGAAGCAGTTTTAAAGTTGCAGAATATAATGTTGACAGCTAGTGGTTGAAACGGGTATTACAATGGACAATGGAAAGAGTCGCAACAAGCCTTGCACTGTAAACGCATCTACGATATTTATCTGCATTTTAATATGCCTAATCAGAGGTTGTTTTTTTTTTTTTTTTACGGATGCCAAGGCTTTTTAGGGTCGGGTTTGTATATGTCCAGATTCAATACGTCCGTGGTGTTTTTAATCCGCTTTAACTCACACCATGTGTAAATTCATAAGTCGACAGCATTGCTGAGTATTTCCTCCTTAAAACTGCCGTGAACCAAAAACACGCTTTGAAATCGCTGGTGTTTCTGACGTCACAAACGACCTTGTAACCAATCAGATCAATGTGTGATCGTCAACCAGTGGATGAGAAGAGGTGGGGCTCATTTGCATATTCACAGAACCACTACTAAATACAAAATGAGGCAAGGGTGTCGAGTTACATTCAAGATATTGTAAGACATGAAGACATTTGTCCTCAAGTAAAAACATTAAATATGCAAAATTTGCAATCAAAGATGAGTTAGGGGAAAAATTTAATGACTACAGGGGAACTTTAACAAAAATAGAATTGAACCGCCCTAATCAGATGCCATGTGGCAAGATTACAGCGACAAGCAATTTGTCTATACCAGATGTGACAATCAAAAATCACAGCCAATCAGAACAGCATGTGGGTGGAGTTTATGCAAAAAAAAAAAAATAAATAATAATTATTCCTATATTTTCAAGATCTGATGTGAATTATCCATTGTCACTTTTAGGGCCTGTTTAAACCTGGCCACTTCATGCGTTTTCAGATCGGATCGCTCTCCGATCGTGAAGTGACCAGGTGTAAACGCCCTCCGAAACATATTTCAATCCGATCGCTCAAACCCATCAGGAGGAGATCTGGGACATGATACGGCACAAGTGTAAACGCATCTGGTTGATGAAAGCCCACATGTAAATTTTACTCCTAAAATGTTAGAAAATAAACACGTGAGCGTGTTACAGGACATATTGTATATTAGCCAGATATTACGGCACAACCGCAACACGCATCGCTGCAAATTAATCTCCTTAGCAAGCCAACGCGCAAACGGCCACAAATAAAACAAAGCAAGTCGCAGACGCTTAAAACACAATCATCTTCTTCATTAAAAGTAGTGAGACTAAATGTTCTTACCGGTGCTGATGCCGCTCTCTCTCCTATTGAATTTAGCTGATGATAAAAAAACAAAAAACAGCTCATATCTGTTGCTTTCTCTAACGTAAAATGTGCATATAGCGTGGGAATTGAAGATCGGATTTGTATCCGTTTTGCGGAGACACATTTATGTGGGCAAGTGTAAACGAAACCGTTTTAACAAATCAGACAAGTAAAACCATATGAAATGACCAGGTGTAAACAGTATGGCTATAAATCACACGAAATGATAATTAAACTCATGAAATTATTTGGTAACACTTTACAATAAGGGTCATTAGTTAACATGAACAATACTTAAGCACATGAATATTTTAAATAAATAATAAAAAAAGGTTGTATTGGTTAACATTAGTTAATGCACTGTGAACACGAACAGCTGGATTTTTAATGATGAATAAATACAGTGACAAATGTTTTGCTTGTTAGTTCAAACATTAATGATCCTTATTGTAAAGTGTTACCAATTATTTTAACATGAAATACAGTATATAATCAGTAAATGAGGTTATGATTGTCATACTTTGTTGCTCAAGCGGTTTCTAATATAGAGTGACGTCACATGACTCGTACCTTCACGTCTCCCTTCTCGCTGTCAGACTTGCGGTCTCGATCTCGGTCCTTGTCTTTGTCTTTGCTCTTCTTGCTGGTGGAGCGTTCCCTTTTTTCACGAGTCCTGTCCCGGTCGTCTTTTCGGTCTCGGTCACGGTCCCTCTCGCGGTCTTTATCCTTCTTTTTCTCTTTCTTGTGTCTGAGAGAAACAAGTTTTTGGGGTTAAAGCGGGTCTGAGAAAGTAGGGTTGGGTATTGACACAAATTTCACAATTCGATTCGATTTACAACCTCGCAATTCAATTCGATATTGATTATTTTGGACATCAGGTGCAATACAGGGCAAAATTTCTCAAGGAAAACAATTCTTTTAACTAATGCAGTGAATTATGGGAGTCAGTTGTAGCCTATAGGCTTCATTAGCCTACTCTAACTAATGGGCTCTATGCACGGCGGTATTTCCAGTGAAGCTGCAAGGATGCTCGATAACTTCCGCCGACCGTATGGTCCAATGCAATACCGAGAATTTATATTGAATTTTATACTCCATGGTTATACTAAAGAAACGTTAGACACAAAAACAGATAAAACAGACACCCCTCTTGTGTTTATGCTTCTTTTTAAAATTATATTAAATAAATATAAAATTACACCTAAACGCATGTACGTTTCATTTCAAAGACGGGAGGACAGTAAATATTGAAGACTCTGCCATAATCCCGTTTTCCTTGGTTTTCCTCCGCTTTAATCTACACAACCGGCAATGGACGAGCATCCTTGCGTCAAATGCGGAACTTATGCGTGCATATAGCCCATACTGAAGGGAAAAATTAACTGATTTGTATACAAATAATATTTATTTTTTATAATAAAGTTATATGAAATATAAACAGTTAAATGGCGGCTGTCATAAAAACTTGCCAGATTTATTCGAAAATTTAATTACAATATGTAATATATGGTGAATATTTAGCAAAACACTCCTCTCTAGAGTTAATTTTTCCAGCTGATCTCGAGTTTATGGCCACCGGATATGGTTTTTCTGAGGTAAATGTGACGTTTCACTGACGTCTTTCTACGGTTAAAACACTGAGCGATTCCATGTGACTGATACGGATTATGAAGTTGTCGATCTTTTAACACTTTCAGACGCTCATTCATGTTTATTTGGCGCTGTAACTGGTATTATTAAAGCGGAAGAGAAGATCATGTGCGATCTCACGCCACAGCGCCATTTTTGAATTTCATAAGAAAATGGACGTCACTTGTAATCTGAGACACTTTCATATCAATAGTAGCAAAGCACAAAGATTGTGATTTATTGGATGGGATGCGCGCTACAATGATCCATTCATCCGTCAACTGGAAACAGGACGACTAGCCTAATTGCTTCTTGGGATTTAAGAATCGATATCTGTTCGTAAAAATGAGAATCGATTAAAATCGAAATCTATATTGTTTTACCCGGTCCCAGCCCTATGAAGAGGAAGGGGACGTGTGTGTGTGTGTATTACCTGCGAGGAGACGGGGAGCGGGACAGTTTTCTCTTGGGAGAGCGAGACTTCTTTGGCGATCGAGACACGCTGCGACTTCTCCTGTGCCGTTTGCTGGAGAGAGAAGCATTTGCTGGATCAAAAGGAGCTCGAACCGGATGCAGACCACAATAATCTGGGGTGCACTTTACCAACACCTTTATATGCGCTTTGGCTATTCATTTACTCAACAGATTTCTAAGCGCACGTTTTTTTGTGTGTTTTTTTTGTGATACCGTAAACTACAAACACGCAAATCTGCAAAAAAGGGTCACATCATGCACATGCGTCACGTGTTCAGTCTATAGGCGTGTGATATTTCTTTACAAAATGACATACAACATTTTTACAATCAAATTCCAGGACTTAAAGCACTAAAATCTCATTTATAAAACAATATTTAAATTCTAAAAAAGGTAAATAGATAAAACTAAATGGTAAAGTGCAGCCTATGCAGTGACTGCGTATGGACACTATGACAAAGATATCGCTTTCCTTATAAAACAGATTTTTTCCTCATATTAATATATGATTGATTTGAAGAATAAAAGCTGTATCATATTAATGGATATTTATATGAGCAATATCACACTCAAAGCCATGGGAAATAACAAAATCAAATGGACTGCATCTGTAAATTTGTGTGAAAAGATTATATTATCAATACAATTAACAATCAATTCTTCATCCAAATGTTTAAGGGTTTTCCAGGACTTAAATTTCCTAAGTATCAAGTATATTAAATACCTTGTAAGATCCTGGTTTTTAGTCGTTTTCATGGACCTGTATGAATGGGGATCGTATTGAAAACATTATCATCTGTATGCAGAAAACGCCAAGGAAAAACTTCTCCGTTTTTAGCACATCGCTGTAGTGTACACTTACTTTCTACTTTAAACTAAGGTTTCACAAGATGTGCTTGTGAAAAAAAGTTGAATCAACTCAACAGGCCCTTTTTACCACAATGTTAATAAAAAAAAAATGCAGATTCCCGTAATAAAAATGAAATTTTAGATGATTTTTGGTAATTTTGGATGAATCAAAAACTGGGGCTTTAATTTTAAACTAAAATGTGATAATCATTAAAACGTGATCAGCCTGATGTGGGTGCGCTCCACTCACCGGCTGGTGCTGCGGGACCGTCGGGCGCTGCTGTAGCTCTTCGGGGGAGTTTTTGAACGTTTCCGGATCTTTTCCTCCTTCCGCCGATCTCTACATTTAAAAACAACACAAACATCTTTGAGGAAACGGACCTCTACCATCGCACCACTAACCCTGAGAAACCAGAAGCACATTTGACAATTTATTTTTCGGTTAATCGTTTTTTAAAACGGGGTTTTAACAATTGATTGTTTTCCATATTTATCTATCTATCACCCAAAAGCCAGTATTAGTTTCCTCCACTGCTCATAGGCTTGAGTCTCTGTGTTACAGCTGAAGGCTGGGAGATTTCATGCGTTTAATCCTAAACATAAAATAATCTGATCCTGTTTGATCACCTGTTTGATCATCAATTTTTCATCTTGCATCAAAATCCTGTATATTAATTCAATGCATTTGATGTATAGCTTTGGATTCTGTTTTAATGTAACCAAGTGTACCTAAAAAAAACCTAAAATTTTAATATGTTTTTTTTTATTAATTAATTAACCACTTGTCATTTTTTTTCATAAATATAGGATTTGTATTAAATCTATATTCATCGAGTCGAATCGAGCGCTTGTGAATCATCTGAATCGATGCCCAGCTCCACCTTGCGTCTCAATGTTCACACTACACATCCTAAACAGTGTGTGAGATTAAACTTTTCAAAGCATAGCATGTTGAAAAGTGCCAGAAGTCCGGTCTATTCCTGGTGGATTTTCAAAGCATGGATCAGTGCTTAAAATAACAGCTAATATTACCCACAACCCATTGCACTTTGGGGGAAGGACTAGTTAAAAAGGTTAAAAAGCTACAAAATATGGGGGAAATGTGTGACTGACCGTGAGAGGTTTTCTGCACCAAATGATTAACATTCGCAAGTGAACAAGCGTGCCGTTATGTGTTGGTTTCCCGCCAAAGTTCATTTGTACACACATCTGGAGGGTCGAGTGTGTTAATCTCAATCCCTGAATGTTGCGCTCCTGTTTGTCATTGTGACAACTTCATCAATAAATCATCAGTAATATTGCTGATTTGTGCGTCTCAAGCCTCTTTACGCTCGTCCTAATGCCTTTAGGTGCCCGTGGATTTGCCGAAAACGTCTTCAGACATGAAAAATCGAGTTTACAATCGATTCAATGAACACTAATGTCTCAGATCAAACAGGATTTTGTCAGTCAAAAGTACGCACTTTCTCTTCACAAACAGAGTAAATACTCTTAGGTATGTGAAGTTAGCGTTACCTGGATCTGGAGCGTCTGCTGCGATCACGTGAATCGGCCCTCCTCCTCCTCGGGCTCTTTGACCTCCTCCTGCTCCTGGATCGGGACCGTCGTCTAGAATGACTCTTAGAGCGCCTGCGGTCACAACATACTCATTGGCCCAGGACTGGATATGAATATCAGCTTAACTTGACGATTAAAGCGTCTTCACGAACCTGTGTCTGGAGCGGGACCTGGACCTCCTGCGTCTGGATCTGGACCTGGATCTTGAGCGCTTGCGTTTATCATCCTTTTTACCTGAAGGAGCAAACTCTTTAGCACAGCGCCCTCATTTAAAACTAAAACAGTCAAAATACACATTTCTGATATAGTTTCACTAGTGTGTGCAGGACACTATAGTTCATTTCTGTATGTGAGGAGGGCAATATAAAGTAAACTGATATATAACACCCAAATATTCTTGACTACAGTAACATTTATTAAAATATGGGACCAATAATGACTCCTCCACTTTGAGCGGACGATGTTTTGCTGAAGTGTGTTTTCTCTTTTTAACATGAAGCATCATTGGTCACTGGTTGAGCTAAACTGGTATTATCTAATTGTTAACAGCTGACAGATATTCAATAATTCACGTGTGAGAGTCCAACAGAAGGATTGTCATATTTCATCTCCATTTTCTAAACTAGCGAATAATATGGAGCGAAGTATGTGCCTAAACCTCACACACAAACAAAACGTGTTTTACTCACACCCAATGATTCACAAACAAACTCAGTGTGGTTTGTAAATACAAAACATCACTCACAAACTAATGCATATTGTTCTGCAAATAAAAAACGTACCTATCAAACAAATACAGTATGTTTTACATATACATAGAAACGTATTTCTTCAATGACCAAAATATCCTGCAAGTACAAACTAAAATCTTTGAAAGTACAAAACAAAATTCTACACGTACAAAACAAAATTCTACACGTACAAAACAAAATTCTACAAGTACAAAGCAAAATTCTACAAGTACAAAACAGAATTCTACAAGTACGAAAACTGTCACGTGACTTTTGGCACTATTTTTCCGCGTCCAGGCAGAATCAGATTTTCTCACAAATACAGTGGAACAACTTCCTCTTCTAGAACAGTAGATGGCGCTAAGATAAGGGATTCAATTTGCTCGCCTTTGCCCATGGGAAAATGAGCGGTGAACAGGTGTGTTTCTGTCCAACTTTATCTATAATTAACCTTATTGAGGTTTTGGAAAATGTTTATTATATAGACAGAAATCCACATTAGCACTTAGTAGTAACGTACTCCACTCTAGGATAAGGGAATCTATAAGCTGAAAGCTGCCATCATGTTGCTTTTACTTTTTGTAAAAATGTTTCATTTACTGAATGACTCTATTTCTTTCGTTCTCCGTAAATTAATGAGAATTAATTTCATTTAATTGAAAGGGTCCCACTTATTCATTAATTTAGTTGGAATTCAGTCAGTGTAACTGTTAATGTAATAAAATAAAAAAATGAACAAAACAATATAGGCCTACAGTTGTTTCTTCCTTGAGATGTATTGTCCAAATTATTATTTTGGACAGACAAATGAAACCCTCCTTTCAATTAAATTAAATGTTTTCATTATTAAGAACGAAACGAAAGTAATAGATTCGTTCAGTGTATACATAATCAGTGTACATAATCAGTGTATACATAATCTGTGACAGCTTTAAGGTGCTTTATTGGCAGTGCCACCCTACATGTTACACGCGTCACCACCGCATCACCGCACGGTGCGGTGATGCGGTGGTGACGCGTGTAACATGTAGGGTGGCACTGCCAATAAAGCACCTTAAAGCTGTCACAGATTATGTATACACTGATTATGTACACTGATTATGTATACACTGAACGAATCTATTACTTTCGTTTCGTTCTTAATAATGAAAACATTTAATTTAATTGAAAGGAGGGTTTCATTTGTCTGTCCAAAATAATAATTTGGACAATACATCTCAAGGAAGAAACAACTGTAGGCCTATATTGTTTTGTTCATTTTTTTATTTTATTACATTAACAGTTACACTGACTGAATTCCAACTAAATTAATGAATAAGTGGGACCCTTTCAATTAAATGAAATTAATTCTCATTAATTTACGGAGAACGAAAGAAATAGAGTCATTCAGTAAATGAAACATTTTTACAAAAAGTAAAAGCAACATGATGGCAGCTTTCAGCTTATAGATTCCCTTATCCTAGAGTGGAGTACGTTACTACTAAGTGCTAATGTGGATTTCTGTCTATATAATAAACATTTTCCAAAACCTCAATAAGGTTAATTATAGATAAAGTTGGACAGAAACACACCTGTTCACCGCTCATTTTCCCATGGGCAAAGGCGAGCAAATTGATCGCTTATCTTAGCGCCATCTACTGTTCTAGAAGAGGAAGTTGTTCCACTGTATTTGTAAAAAAAATCTGATTCTGCCTGGACGCGGAAAAATAGTGCCAAAAGTCACGTGACAGTTTTTCGTACTTGTAGAATTCTGTTTTGTACTTGTAGAATTTTGTTTTGTACTTGTAGAATTTTGCTTTGTACTTGTAGAATTTTGCTTTGTACTTGTAGAATTTTGTTTTGTACGTGTAGAATTTTGTTTTGTACTTTCAAAGATTTTAGTTTGTACTTGCAGGATATTTTGGTCATTGAAGAAATACGTTTCTATGTATATGTAAAACATACTGTATTTGTTTGATAGGTACGTTTTTTATTTGCAGAACAATATGCATTAGTTTGTGAGTGATGTTTTGTATTTACAAACCACACTGAGTTTGTTTGTGAATCATTGGGTGTGAGTAAAACACGTTTTGTTTGTGTGTGAGGTTTAGGCACATACTTCGCTCCATAGAATAAACTGTGATAATGTGAGAACTGAATGAATGACAGTGTCTGTCCACTCACTCCCAGGCTCGATTGCGGCGGAGATCAGAGATTGTGCCTCTCTCACTCTCTTCATGGCTTCTTCGATCTCTTTATTGGAGGCGTCCGCCTTCAGTCCCGGGGTCAGGTTCAGCCCAGCGGCGAGAGGGTTCAGCCTGCAATCACAGTGAGTTACTGATGAGAACACACAACCTCAACTAGACGGTAGAGCCCTATGACAGGCTAATTTACAGTTCAATTTAAGACTCGTTCCACTTAAAGTTAACCCGTTACATCGGCGACTTTACATTTACATAAATGTATATTTACTATGCATTGATTGTAAAATAGTACAACTAAACCATCTTATTCGTGATAATCTTACCAACGCAACAATTCAGAAGGGTGGGAACGAAGCACAGGAGAATAAAGTGATAAACCCAATGCTAGTTTATGGAGTACGACTAGATTAAACCTACGCAGAATCCCAGCCAAAATTAATGTGGTTTCACTTGAAGAAATTAGACAAAAATATTCTGTAGTCCGTTTCAGGATTTCAATTATTAGGACATGCTTTTTAGATTACTAAAATTGAATCTAAACCATTAAAATAAAACAATGACAGGGTTTAGATTAATTCTTAATTAGGACTTTTAAGTAGCTTTTATAAACATTGCTGGTGTTCATCTGAAGACAAAACAGTGACACTTATATATTTAACTTTCAGTTCAAACACGCGCTTTAATCTTGGACTAGCTTAAGCCCTGTCTGTGAAACCTGGGGGGACCAGAATAGAGCCAGACCGATATTATCGGCCGATATTAGGCATTTTCCATAATATCGGTATCGGCAGTTATAATGGCCGATAAATGAATGTTTAAAAAATAAAATTAAAACGGACGAAACACGCTTCAATCATCTCTCCTTGGCCTGTTATATTGAAAATGTATGTTTTACAATTTGCAGTATGATGTTATCTATTGCTAAATTATGGCTCATCTTAGACTAGCTAACCACAAAGCTATAGCTAATGCCACTATCATCAGTGGAAGACCGCTAACGTTAACATTAATGAGCTTGGAAACCACAATGAACTTTTTCTGCCTAAATAAAGTAATTATTACTGTATTTATAACTAGCATATCTCTAGTTACAGTCCCTGCATTGTAAAATGTAAGTTATACCTGCGAGGAGTGAACATTTAGACATAGAGAAAAAGTATCAAACGTATCTTGTGCAGAAAAGTTAGCTTTTCTTTTACATGCGTGTGAAATCCAACAATATTTAATAAAAAAAAAAAAAAATATCGGCCGATATATCGAATTTTATAACCCAAAAATATTTGTATCGGTATCGGCCTTCAAAGTTCTTCATCGGTCGGGCTCTAGACCAGAATAATATAATTTAGCTTTCATCCAGCCCTAGATGATATCGATGGACTTACTTGGGGTCAATGGATGCCATAAGCTTCATAAGCTGCTCAGCCGACAGAGTCTAAGAAGAAACACACAAAGATTAGTGAAAGAGAAGCATATCTGGTGTACAAAGCCTTCTGTTGAAGGAGCTGAGAGAGGTCAAACCTGAGGGTTTATATTGGGCGCCGCCATTGCCAGAGCTGCCATCGGGTCCAAGTTCGGCCCTCCGAGACCACCAAGAGAAACACCACCAATCTGACAAAACAACGTCATTAGTCCAAAGAGGGCAAGCGTCTCGTTACATTAGGTGTGTTTTCACAACAGATTTGCACAGATTTGAAAAAAAAAAAAAAAGTTCACAAATGTTCACACACTTTTGTCTTATGAGTTTAAGAAAGAGCTCAGTCTCGTCTTCAGTCCAAACGCACTGCGATCTATGTCAGGTGACTGTAAATGCGACAAACGTTTCCATTGCAGTTTTGCGAAATATTCCTTTCTTGAAGCAGTAAAAATAACAACATGCAAATGCTATGACCAGTCCCAGTTTAATCTAACTAATATGTACTTATATAAAATAAAGTAGGGCTGTCAGTTAAACACGTCATTAAAGGATTAGTTCACTTTAAAAAAAAAAACTTTTGCTGATAATTTACTCACCCCCATGTCATCCAAGATGTCCATGTCTTTCTTTCTTCAGTCGAAAAGAAATGAAGGTTTTTGATGAAAACATTCCAGGATTTTCTCCATATAATGGACTTCAATGGGAACCAAACGGTTCAAGGTCCAAAAGAGAGTTGCAGTGCAAACTGTTCAAACGGCTTTAAACGATTTCAGATGATGAATAAGGGTCTTATCAAGCAAAACGATCAATCATTTAAAAAAAAAAAAATGTTTAAGTTTTATAAGCACAAATGCTCGCCTTGCTCTGTTCTGTGATGCGCGTTCGTGACTCTCCTGTTCGAACTCGTTCATCAAAATGAATGAATCTCTTTCAAAGTCAATTCGTTCATTGAATCAACCAAATGACACGAAAAAAGATTTGTTCATTTTGAAGGAAAAAAAAAAACGAGTTTGAACAGGAGAGTCACGTAGGGCTGTCGCGGTTATGGAATTTCCCTTGCGGTAATGTTGAGTGGCTCAATAGCGCGATATGCGGTATTACCGTCATTTATTTATTTATTCAATTTATGTATTTGTTGCTATATAAATAAAGTTTACGATGTGGACAAAAACGAGGACATTTTCAGTAACCAATGTAGGCTAACCGAAACTAAACAGCGTCTACAGTATGCGCATTGAAAGACTTTCACTCAGCGTGCATATTGTTATGACAACGGACTTTGAGCGAGTCATTGAACCGTTCATTCAACGAACACGTTTAAAAAAAGCTGATTCATTAAAACAAGATATGTAAAGAAACAATATGTTAGGCTAATTATTTTTAACTTTGAGGTTCAACTTTTCAAGGCTCAGCTGAGCAGCAATGCGTCGCATGGGCAACGCTAAAGCTGATGCTTCACTTATTAGAGACCAATATAGCATTGATTTAATGCGTGACTCACTGATTTTATTTCACCGCGGCTTCCTTGTGCTGTGTGATGCTGACCAGCGGTGCCTCTGACGCGCATTTATGGGAAAATACCCGTGAAGAGAACGTTAATGATGATGTGACGAATATTTCGCTTCCCTTTGACACGACAAGCTTTTCACGACTTCAAAGACAGACGCAGTAATCGCACGCGCTCTGCAGATCTCTCTCATTCACTGTCTGTGTGAAGCCTGTAGGCTACACATCACCATAAACAGTCTTGTTATCATTATGAACTTGTTTAACATTCAATACACATGCATTAAGTTCAAAACAAGAAGGGTATAGCCTTATAAAAAAAAAAAAAACGTGAATATCGCGGTTGCTGCGGTTACGTGCAATCCTCTGCGGTTGACTTGTCAGAAGCGCGGTACTACAATATTGCGGTTACCGCAACAGCCCTAGAGTCACGAACACGCATCACAGAACAGAGCAAGGCGTTTTTGTTTTTTTTTGTTTTTTAAACGAGCGATCGTTTCGCTTGATAAGACCCTTATCCATCATCTGGAATCATTTAAAGCCCTTTGAACAGTTGGCAGTTTGCACTGACACCATCTTTAGAAACTTGAACCGTTTGGTTCCCATTGCAAGTAAATTATCAGCAAAAGTTTTTTGAAAAGTGAACTACACCTTTAACGGCGTTAACGCAAATCTATTTTACCGCGATTAATTTTTTTATCGTCTTTTTTGCCTAGCGAAACTTTGTATGTTTTTACATGCTTTTGCAACAGGACGCCGCACCCGTGGCGCTGCACTATGAAACCCATTCATTTCAACGGCTTGCGGAACATTTTGTTGCTTCTTCGACAAAAGCGCAAGAGCCCCGGGGGCGCACACAGCGGTCAAAACTCAAAATAGTTCACCTTTTGCCGCTGTGATGATTACCAACACGGCCAATAGAAACATTTTGGCATCCAAAAGGTTTGAAAACTGGCGTGGCGATTAAACGTTTAAATCGTTTGATAGCACTAATATAAAGATAATAGATATAGAATAGAAGATAAAGTGTTAATATTAATTAATTTCAGCCGTTTACGTTAGTATCGTATGATATCATTGACACTCACAGACGTGACGGGATTGGGCGTCGGGAGGAGTCCGCCTCCTGGCAGTAACCCTGCGACGGCATTGGCTGGAGCGAGCAGTGACAGAGCCTTGGACTCGTCAGGAATCACCCCTGCAGGACAGAAACGCCACAGTTAAACCACGCCACGGCTCTCGCACCACACACACACACACACACACACACGCACAAACAGACCCCTTTTTTCCAAGTCTATATTTGCACTTACATCAGTACACGCTTTGTCAAGAGGAAGCTAAGACATGAGGTCCCTTAACAAAAGCATGAAGTGCACAATACTACAAAAAAGGAAATGACACTAGACACACTGCCAAGATGTTATCACCTGAACTTGATTTTTTAAGTCATGAACCAAATGTAAGCAAGCACAGCCGGATCTCCACTGGGATGTGCTCTCAAGTTTCATAAGTTGTATAATGAACAAGCGACTCAGGTCGGCTGCTTCGCTATAAAGCACACAGAGACATCAAGATAGACAAAACAGAGTTTATGATTTGGGTGTCAGCATCAAATGACAAGTTCATTAATCCACTGATGGTGTGACTTACCATGACTAATGCAAAAAAAACATTTGTTTAGGGGGCTTTTGCTGGTTATTTAAAAGCTAAAACTGCCTTTACCTTTTGAAGCACATCTAAACTCGTCTAATGAATGTGTGTGCTGGATTGAGACTTTAAATGAAAAAGACGTTTTCCAGCAAAAGCCCAGTTTCAAGAAAAAATAATAATAATAATAATCAATAGCTAAAAGACATGAATGTCTAGTGAGTGCATGAGTCCATTGGGAGAGCACCTCTGAAATTCATATTCACTCCAAACAATACAATCATCACTTACACACACACACACACACACACACCAGAGAGAGAGAGAGAGAGAGAGAGAGAGAGAGAGAGATGAGAGAGAGAGAAACAGGACAAGCTGCAGAAGACAAAACTGTTGGGTGGCATTTTCTGCTGGGCCTGGTTTACAGGACTTGCAGAACCAGGGAAAAGAACTGGAAAACACAACAACAAAAAACAGAAACGACCGTTAAAAAGCGTCTCAGGCCTTTTTCAGTCATGTGGAGAGGAACAAAAGAACATTCTCAGACTGTTTCTTACTCAAAAAGGGAGGTTGGACTAATATCATAACACGGACAGGAAAGCCCTAGCATTATATGTGTGCAAAACACTCATGCAGAAACGCTACATCTCGTCTTACCGTAGATTATCTCGTGTCTGATTAGCATGCAGTTCAATCAGAAATGTAGAAACCAACAAGGATTTGAGCCTAAACATTTGTGCTTTACATGATTAGATCGATCTTTGTCTGTGAACTCGAGTGAATTCAGTTGGAGACGAGAGAGAGGATTATAGTTTACAGCAGGGAAACACGTGGGCTGGCCGCTTTTATTTGTCTACAGGGTCACACTCAGACATCTGCCGGCTCTGCAATTGCCTTGTTCACTATAAAAATCACACACACAAATGACAAAGAGAAAAGTTTAACAAAAAAAATGAAACTAAACTGGAAAGGCAATGAGTTTAAACATGAGCTCCTGCCATTCAGGGGATTCATTCCCAACCATCTCATTGATATTTCTGAACTGTACACTGCCTTTCACATGTTTGGGGTCGGTACCGTTTATTATGTTTTTAAAATGAGCCTCTTCTGCTCACCAAGGCTGTGTTTACTTGATTAAAAACCCAACAAAAACTGAATTATTCTTAAAATGTAAAGTGTAATTTATTAAAAAGCTGAAATTATCTTCATTACTCCAGTCTTCAGTGTCACATGATCCTTCAGAAATCAAGAAACTATGATTATTATTATCAGTGTTGAAAACAGTCATATACATTTTTTTCAGGACTTTTTGAAGAAAAAAAAAAAAACAGCATTTATTTGAAAGAGTCTTAAGTAACATTTAAATGTCTTTACCATCACTTTAATTAATCATTGATGAATAAAAATATTGATTTCTATACTTGTATGAAGAAAAATCATACTGACCCTAAACCCAGACAGCAAACTGACATTGAATCAACATGGAAACGACGTCTCTCATGAAATCGAAACATTGATTTTGCTCGAATTAACGTTGAACCAACGTCAGACGCGGCATTCTTCAAAGCTAAATGAAAATCGAAAATTGGTTTGATTTGATAACGTTGAAACAACGTTGATTTCAAGTTGATTTTCCGTTAGTTTTGAAAGAATGACGTTGGTTCAACGTTAATTCGATGAGCAAAACAATGTCGGATCAACGTTGTTTCGATGTCATGAGAGACGTTGATTCAATGTCAGTTTGCTATCTGGGAACTTATGAACGGTAGTGTATAATATCACAAAAGCTTTATATTTCAGATAAATGCTGTTCTTTTGAAGTTAATATTCAAAGAATCCTGAATAAAAATGTAATAACGGGTGTCATAATTGATAATCATAAATGTTTGAGCATCAGATCCTCATATTAGAGTGATCATACTAGAAGAAAATGAACGTTATTTTTTGAATAGATTACACTTTACTATACACTCAAAAAGGGTTTTTAAATTGAAATTATATTTACCAATATTACCGTTTTTTGTATTTCCAATTAAATAAATGCGTGTGCAAAAGAGACTCTTTCTGAAACATTAAATGGTAGCGATCCGAAACGTTTGAACGGCAGTGTACACTCACACGTACGCATCTGTACGTCTGAGGGATGAGCGACGGCCGCTGGGATTCACTGCGCTAATCCCGCCGCCGCCGCCTACACTGCGAAGGGATCGATCACGTGTCTGAAAGTGAACATGAGCGGCACAAACCTTCTGCGAAGGGGACGACGATCAGCGCTCTGTCCACGAAGACCGTGTTGGTCAGATGCTGGGAAACTCCGACTGACTCCGGCTCGTGGAACTTTACAAAACATACACGTGAAGTCACAGGCAAGGGAGAATCACTGAAAGAAAATATAGATGCTTTTGCAAGATGTACACACACTTGATCACACACCTCCTGCAGTTTTCAAACACCACAGAGAATTATTCATCATGTTCGAGCAAATCAGCATCTACGGCATGTCATAAAGATCCAAGATCCGGCTCAGTTTAAGATCTGCCGGCTTCGGAGCAGATCCGCCAGCGTCCTACCTTCGCTGCAGATATGATGACGCCAGATGTTTTTCGATGGGTGAAAAACAACAAAAGCACAGAACAGAAGTTAGCTACTGGAGAACCCTGCATTCTGCCTGCTTGAGCAGTGAAATCAACATTTACTGAGTCGAAACGTAGTTCGACGCCTAGATGATTTAAACAGGCTGTGGTTGTTGTTGCGTCCGATACTGAATACTTCTCTGGTCAAGCACAAGTTGAAAAGTCCCCAGATGACTTACTACTTCCGGTCAGATTCTGAAGTGTGTATTCGATAGACACTTTTCTATCCCATGAGGCCACAGGAGAAGATTTGGTGGTGAAGCGATGCAACTGACGCTGGTAGGTCACGTGACAGTAACAAAATGGCGGATGTAGTTCGGTTGAACTTCATTCATACTATACAGAATAACTACTTAGTATGCGATTTCAAACGCAGAAACCCATTATAAACAATACATTTTATAACATATATTTGCCATGAGCAGCGATTTCATGCACGAATCTTACTAGCGCGTTTACATAGAAAAACAAAGGAAAAGTAGTGCCGTTCTGTGTGAAATGCTCCTTAGACTGCCAATTTCAACTTTATCGACTTCATTATATAATTGGTTAATCGACTTTTTTTAACAGACTACATTATTATAACGAACACCAAAGAGGCGGAAACCGTGCAGACAAACGTGCGTGACGTCACGGCTCTTTTATGCAATAAAGCGCCATTACCAAACCTGCACATAAACTGTAAAAATATACGTCTGTTTTTACTGCTTTAATTATTAGAAATCATTATGACGAGGGTTGACGGTTAAAAGTGTATAAGCCGGAGATAAATTAACGATATTATTCAAACAAATGAACGACACGATGACCCGTTTAACGTAACGTTAGCTGGTTATAATTTGTGTGCGAGTTTTTGTGCGCTTTCTAAACTAGCGAGAATGGATCGAGCTAAATGGTGCTTGTTTGTGCCTTTAAATCTATATATTTTGCACATAATTGGGTTGAATAGATCTATAGATCTAATCTATGTTATCTATAACATTGAGGAATTGTTAAACATCCGAACACGTGTGTAAAATGTTCTCTGTATTGAACACCGAGTGATTCGGAACACATTTCTACTCACTCTGGTGGAAACAGTTTGAGCTCGTCGATGGTTCCGATGAAGCCGAACAGGGTTCGCATCTGCTCCGCGGTGCTGCTCGGCGACACGTTCGTCACCTGGATCACATTGGTGCTGGACGTCATTGTGGCTCCGATCTGATGATGGTGAACGTCAATCGAAAGACATTTAAATCCGTGCGGTAGAAACGCGATTTTACTCGATTTCGCCTCAATGGATTTTTTTGATCAAGAATCGTCTCGCGGCCTTCTACCTCACGCGCTCATGACTGCGGGGCCTGTAATGGCGCTCGTGTTGCGGCGTGAACTGTGAAGCGCGCGCTCATAAGAACATGGCGGCTTCTATGCCAGATTTCAAAATAAAGGTTTTCATAATACGTCATCATTTTGGGGGTTCTTTCTTTCTTTTATTTATTTATTTATTTTATTCATATACTTGTTGAACAATAACAGAAAGGCAGTCATAACCGAGAGGTTAACAAACAAAAACTGAGATCACAATCAAATCTCCAACCGCATTATACACAACAATAAGTGAGATATTTATTTATTTTATTTATTTTTTTATTTTTTATTATAAAACCAAAGTCTTCCCATAAAGAGTACAAATACATTGCTTTGAGACGTTTCATCCCTTCTCAGTATCTCCAAATATATTAGAAATTCCTCTTTAAAAAATAACAATCGTGGAGAAATTTTGAAAAATGTACGTTTGTGTATGCAACATTTCAGTAAAAGCAACAGATTATTTATTACATAAAATACCCTGTTATCCTTAATCAACAAACCGAATTTAAGAATTCCCCATGACAGTATCAGTCTTACAGGTATTTTTGGTTGGATACAGCTAAATGCATCATTCCAGAATGCATTTATCAAATTACACTGAAAAAACAAGTGTTCTCGTTTGGGTTTCAAACTGGGGACCCTAGAAAAATGGACAAAATAAAAATAAACTTGAAAATAAATGAATAAAACCAAATTATTATGATATTTATTTGTGTATGAAAGTTACTTTGTTATATTTTTCCTCACACAAACTGTAAACTGAAAACGATAAATGAATGTCTGTGTGTTTGTATGATTTAAATCACCTGACAAGAAATATATATATATTCATTTTAAGTTTAATAAAAGTTTAAGCAGCCTTGTGCATTTTGTCATTTTTATTATTTTTTAATGCCTTTAATTTATATATATATAAAAAAATGTTAACCGATTATAAAAAAAAAAACGTTATTTCAATTAACATGTATTCTTTTTCAAGTTTTTTTTAATTAATTTATTTTTTTCTCTCTTTCAAGTAACGAAAATGTTTTTCTCAGAGTTATGAAGTCTAGGTGCAAGTTTTTTTTTTTTTTTTCTCTCTTTCAAGTAACGAAAATGTTTTTTCTCAGAGTTATGAAACTAGTCTCTCTAGATGTGTATTAAATGATAAATAATGAATGGAGGTTTATTTTGGGTAGAATCCTTTGATATTTTTTATATTTATACACAAAAAAGAGAAGCCGTTGTTGTAACTATCGTTCATATTTTCTTGTGTAAAAGTCTTTTGTGGTGAACTTCTTGTATGGCCGTGACGCGGGCCGGAAGTCGTCACTCAGTGTCAGCAGATAGGAAATGGAGACTGACGGGGCCTCATCGATACATCAGCGGTGTTGAATGTGATCGATTACTCCGATGCTGATGAACGGAACCCATGGAGACCCATGAGGAGAAGCCCATCATCTACACGATGGAGAACAAACCCATAGTGACCTGTGAGTGGATGTTATAACCCTCATATACTGTCAGCTCGACTGCAGCGGTGTTCTGGTGTGTTGTGATGGTTCACTGACATCTGATTCATAATATTCCTCCTGTCAGTTGGGTTATATCAGGCGTTTAAAAAAAAGATTATGAGTTGTACATTGCTTTCCGCGGGACATTGCTTGTAAACCTGGCTTCAAACCGAACGAATCATTCTTCTGAATCGATTCTTATTCATGAATCGGTTTGAATGATTATTTTTAGCGAATCTGTTTAAATCAAAATCATTCGCCCTGATGCCTTCAAATACAGTCACTTTAGCACAGTATTTTTTGGTATTTGACTGGTAATGTTTTCAGCCTAAACTAACTGTTCAATGGCTGCCTACTAGTGAGTTTCCTAAACATGAATACATATGACAAATGTCTTGATTGGCAAATATCTACCTGTAAATATCAGCTTACATTAATCATTTAGTGTCATGTTACATTTCAAAGTACCACAGTACCATCTTCTGATACCTGATACAGAAACGGTACTTTTCTGTAAGTGAATATCAGTCACAGCTGCTTGTGTGAGAATTGTAATTTATTTATATATTTATTTAAACTCTAAACTGTTTTTAATGTTTTGATTTCAGTTTTATATATTTAAGTACATCAACTTAAACTAATTAAGACAATTAACAATTTAACATTTTATTTCAGGGAACGTTTGTTTTTATTTCAAGTAACTTAAATGTTTTTTATGCTTATTTTATTAACTATAATAACCCTGATGAATATGAAAGGGGCTGTAAGCGATTTCTTAGAATTCTATATTACGTGAGCTTAGAATTATAAGGTTCTATCTCCACTTTTGGTCGAAATTGAGTTTGACATAATCTGATCCATTAGGTGTTTATTAATGCCTGTGTGGTGTTTTGTTTTTTTGTAAAAAATAGATTAATAGATAAAGCTATAATAGAAGATTATACTACATAACAGTTTTGCCAGCTGGGATACAAAAACTTTGATGCTCAATATCTCAGAACTGCCCTAAACAAAGATAATTCTAAGCTCACGATTAGACAAAGCACCAAATCACACTTATAGCCAATCAGCATGAAGGGGTGTGTCAGCTCACTAGGAGGGAGGGGCCTATGTTGCATAAGCATGTTTGTGAATTTGTGGGCAGGGCTATAGAGAAGGGGCGTGAATGTTTTTGTGATTTTAAATATCAACAGTGTTTCTCTGAAATTGCTTACTGCACCTTTAAATGATACATGACCATTAACAAACATGTATAAACAAAGAATGGAGCACTGTAGATTTTTGTTAGTGGTTTCACAGTGAAATTTACATGGCAAACATGACGTGGTAATGTGTGTGTGTGTGTGTGAGCAGGTGCGGGCGATCAGAATCTGTTTACGGCCCTGTACAGCTCACTGACCCAACAGCTGCCCAGAGAACCCATGGAGTGGAGGAGGTGAGATCTGCTTCTCTACCGCATATTCTCTCGCTGCACAGCTGATGTTTTATTATTGTTGCCGTATTATATTATATATTATTATATATTGTTATATTAGTATTATATATTGTTGTAATAATATTGTTAAATCTAAAATTAAATGTCCCCAACTGAGCAAGCCATAAGCCAATGGCGACAAAGGCGAAAAAAAGCTATATACTATATATGGTCAGAATCGGCATCAGATCTTCCGCATTGTGATGCATATTCGAGTTTAACAGGTTATCGGAACATAATCAATGTTAGGCTCTTGGTTCTGTGCATCGTTTGTTTATTGGATGTTGAGATGTGGGCGTGGCACTCAAACCTGTATGCAAATGAGCTTGAAGGGGTGGGGCAGTGTTGTAGTCGAGACCACCTCACTCGAGTCCGAGCGAGACCAGAGAGAGTCGAGTCCGAGTCAAGACCGAGACCAGAGACGGTCGAGTCCGAGTCGAGACCGAGACCAGTGAGGGTTGATTACCTAATTTACTTTTATTTACTTAGAGAAATCCTTTTTATTTTTTTTTTTACTGAATTTACTTAGAGTTTAAAAAATATGATCAGTTTAGGGTAAAACGGCCACATAGTAGGTGGTGTTAAAAGTAATTTTATTACAATTTGTCATGCGCAGTTGCGCACTAGAAAATCACCAATCACTGGGCGTGTCAATCAATTTAAAGAAATATTTTATTCACATACATTAATGATCATGAAAAATATTTTTAATTGAACTCGAGTGGACTCGGGAATAAGTCCGAGTCCTAAAAAAAAAAATGTTCGAGTACGAGTCAATTCCGAGTCCAAATGGACACGAGTCCATGATGAGACCAAGACCATTAAAATATGGTCTCGAGACCGAGTCCGAGACGAGTCCGAGTCTCGAGTACTACAACACTGGGGTGGGGCTTAAGCACACTAAATGATTTGACACACTATCATTTACACAGCACTTTTCTCAAGCAGCTTTACAAAAAATCATGATTATTAATGTTTATAATGTTAATATCTTCATGCCTTAAGCCGGGTGCACACTGGGCTAAACCTGTCCCAGACTAGAACCTGAAACCTGACCATTGCAATCAAATCTGATCTTAGACCGTCAAATTGTCTTTGTTTTTCAAGACAAGCCTTGACCAAAATGAACATTAGAGATTTCTTTCAATCCCGCTTGTAACGTAGATCAGCGTAACCGAACGTGGCATTGATTGATGATGCACAACTCTGGACGAGCTTTCTAGTGTGTGCCCGTTTCTAACGCGTCTCGACTGTCGTACAGTGTGTGACATTAATGATAACTCAGCTGGTGATTATTTAGTTTACTGTAAAATCCAATTGTTTGACGTTTGTAGAAAAGCTCTTGCGATTTGTGTGTTAGTTTTTATAAAACACGCTCTGTGACCGTGAACCGGCTCTCATACATCAGATCTGATGAGAAGAGAGGATACTGGGTATTTCTTTCCCTTTTGAGAGTCACAAAAGAGTATTTTCTTTCTTCTCTTGAGGTTTTATCCTCCTTCAGGGCGTAATGTCATATCTAAAGCCGATCCACCGGAGCTGTGCAGTGAAACTCGGCTGTTATCTCCCATGATTCATGTGTTTGGTTGTGGTGTGTTGAGATGCTGTTCTGTGGTGTGCCTCTGGATTTCTGTCACATGACCTTTCAGAACTGGAAGGAATGACGGAAATCCAATCATCAAGGTCTTCCTGTTTTTCCCGTCAGCCTGAAAGAACCAGATCTAGAACTGTCTCAATATCTCTTTATATCTGTCATTTGACTCAAGTGATTTCACGTTGTGTTCAGAAGAAATGCATTTGGAAGTGATTGATTAAAGAGTCCCATTCTGCCCTTTTACAGTCTTGATGATGTTTTCAGGCTCTTCTAGAACTTGAATGTTGATTATTCTCCTCATTGTTGCGGCTCCTCTCTTCCCAGTCTGTCAGTATCGCTCTGTTCACTTCCTGTCTCGATGAAGCCCCTCCTTCTGAAAAGCACTCTGTGCTCCGATTGGTCGGCTGGATCAGTGTTTTGTGATTAGTCGAGCGCTTCAAGTGTGTTTGGGAAATGCCCCGCCCCTTTCCATAACTGTCAGTTTAACACACTACTAACTAACTCAACCAGGCCCCGCCCCTTTATTCTGCGCATTAATTATTATAATGAGCAATATTGTGACGTGTTCCCGAGGCGTTGCGAGACTACAATGGAGGCATTTCAGGAGTTCAGAAACACTGACGTCATATAGAGTGATCAAACACACTAAAGAGAGATGATCATGCGATGATCATGGGAAAAAGCACAATAGAATAATGTTCTATTGTGTACTAATGTGTGTGTGTGTGTGTTTCTCGTCTCAGGTCTTACGGACGAGCACCAAAGATGATCTACCTGGAGGCTAATTTCGTCCAGTTTAAGGAGGAACTTCTTCCTAAAGAGGGAAATAAAGCGCTGTTGACGTTTCCTTTTCTGCACATCTACTGGACCGACTGCTGTGTGAGTCACCCATCTGAAACACGGCCATAGTTGTGTGTGTGTGTCCCACAGGACATACTGTGCACTCTCTATCTAGAGTATGAGTTTTAAAAAGGTTATGTTGTAATCCAGAGTCCTGTTGCTCCCTGTAATCTATAAATATATCCCTTAAAACTCATCTTTGATCACCTAAATGACATATTTAATCGTTTTTACCTTGAATAAATGTCTCCATGCCTTAAAATATCTTGAATGTAACTCGAAATAATGAAATAATGTAAAATACTGGTGTGTCCATCTGCGTTTGTGTGTGTGTCAGGACACCGAGGTGTACAAGGCATCGGTGAAGGAGGACATGCAGCGCTGGCAGGGTGTCCTGCGTCTCCACGGCTCCGTCGATTGGCTCATCGTTGTGGTGGAGAGTGACAACAAGAAGAAGAACAAGACCAACATCCTGCCACGCACCTCCATCGTGGACAAGATCCGCAACGACTTCTGCAACAAGCAGAGCGACAGGTGAAGACCCGGCTGATGAGTGTGTGTGACTGAGCTCAGTGAACAAACTACACACACAGATCTCACTCTGGTTATTATAGACGCTGTTGAACAGAAAATATTAGACGTTCATTTCACAGTGTTTGAAAATGATCGTTCTGATAAACTAAACTTGTTATTTTTATACTTTATCATGTTTTATCTTATATTGGTTTGTTTTTTGAAAAATAAATATAAATCAAATTATATATATATATATAATATATATATATATATACACATACAGTATATATATATATAAAATAAAGGTAGGTATATATATATATATATATATTTATTTTTAAAATAAAGGTATATTTTTATTTTATTATATATTATATATTTTTACATTTTATTATATTTAAATTGTTTTTATATTTAAAAAAAAAACAATGTACCAAACTTTAAAAAAAAGTTTTTTAAAAATGATAAAATTACATAGAGATATTGAGCTATTTTTATGCTTTATAATATTTGATCATATATTTTTAGTTTTAAAAAAATCCATCAAATTATTATTAAAATAAAATATAAAAAATAAAAGTAAAATATAGTTTTATTATATTTTACATATATATAGATATATATATTGTTAATTATATTTATATTAGAATATTTTTCAATATGAACAAAATATAATATTGAAAATATAAGTGTCACATAATAATATAAAAAAAATAAAAAACATATATCTCCGAGACATTGAGAGAAATATATCTCAGAGAAGATGATTATTTTTATAATTATTATGTATTTACTTTGTATTAAATATTTTTTCTATATATTTTTATAATTATTAACTATGAAACAGATCCGCCCGTATTATCAGATTTAAACCACAGTCAGTGAAAACGTGTAAACTGCCTTTGAAATCCTAATTAAATATGATGCTGTAATCATGTGATTTAACCATCTAATGTGTGTGTTAAAAAGCATTCATTGATTGATCACAGCCAGTGTTGTGTGTGTGTCAGGTGTGTGTCTCTGTCGGACCCTCTGAAGGAGTCGTCTCGCTCTCAGGAGTCGTGGGGGTCGTTCCTCATGAAACTGCGCACGCTCCTGCTCATGTCCTTCACCAGGAACCTGGGCCGCTTCGAGGACGACATGCGGACGCTGCGGGAGAAGCGCACCGAGCCCGGCTGGAGCTTCTGCGACTACTTCATGGTCCAGGTGTGTGATTGGCTGTTGGTAAGCGAATACTTGAGGTCTGGAATCGGATACTTGTGAATTTTCTTATAAAGTTAAAATTTCGATTCCTTTGTGAGCATTTCAGTATGACTTTTCAAGCACGAGACGACTCAGTGTTTTCAGTGTTGCACACGTGTATCAGTATATATATATAATGTATATGTTTTATATATATTAGATCTGTGCGAGTCTTAAAGGGACAGCGCTAATATTCCTGCCGTCTCTATAATAACACTAATCACACTAAAGACTGAAAGAAAATTCACTCGTTCTTCACTGCATAACTATTTTTGTAATTGTGTAATAGTTCTTTATCCTGTTGATTTGTGTTTGTGATATTCATTCAGCTACAATTACATGTTTTGCAATAACACTAAATGTGAATGATATCTACCTTTTTTTTCATGATTGGAATCAAAATTAGGAATCGATAAAATCGTTAAAATTCAAACGATACCCAACGCCACTGAGGAAGCTGTCAATCACACAGCGCTGTGTAAAACTGTGTGTGTGTGTGTGTGTTGAGCAGGAGGAGTTGGCATTTGTGTTCGAGATGCTGCAACAGTTTGAAGACGCTCTGGTCCAGTATGACGAACTCGATGCTCTTTTCACTCAGTATGTGCTCAACTTCGGCGCTGGAGGTAAAACAGCATCTGTGTTTAATATTTAACATTTAATAATTGAAACAGACCTTCATGTTTCAAAGGCAATATGATTAAACTTATACGCATTTAACTACTGTATGTGAGAATATTAACTGAGAAGGAATGTAGTGAGGGACTTTAGGGATGTTGGCCATCAGGATTTATTTAGGTTGTGAAATGTTAAGCTATAATTCAATTTTATTGGCCATTGTTATTTTTCACCTGATCCAAACATCTTTGATTACAGCAGAAAAGGAAAAGGGCTGAAAAAGTTTTATGATAAATTATTGAATGTATATTTTCTTTAAAAAAATATTTATATAATTTATTTTAGGTTTTTTTTTTATTTTATATAAAAATGTGTGTTTTAAATCAAGTTGTGGTAATGGAATATTTTAAATATAATATTTTCTTTTAAATAAATATGAAATTAAATGATAAAAAAATATTTTTTACATTTTAAATTCCTTAATTTGTTTAAATTGTATATATATTTAAACTTATTACTAAAATTGTAAATAATATAAATATAGTTTAATATATCAATAAAAACAAAATTATGGAAATAGAATAAAATATTTAAAAAATATAAATATATTTTTCAATAAATATGAAATAAAATACTTATATATATATAATCAACTAAAAATATAATAAAAATATATAATAAAATATTGAATGTGTTAACTGTGTGTATATATATATATATATATATATAAAATAAATATATATATTCAATTATATTATAAAAGTATATATATATTCAATTATAAAAATATAATACAAATAAAGACCTTTAAAAAATATAATTATACAAAATAGAATATAATATTTTTAAAATGTTAAATATATATTTTTTAATCAAATAAAATGATAAATAATAATAAAAAAATGCATAAAGTATAACTTTAATTATAAAAATATATAATAAAAATAGAATAAAAATATTTTTTAATTCATAAATTATAACTAAAATGATAAAGTATATAGAAGTAAAGAAAGTAAAAAGGGTTAATTTTAATCGTGTGATTGGTGGGTTCAGGTAAATAAGGCCCAGCTCGCTCAGGTTTCATTCCAGTCCCGTGTGTTTTGCGTGTGTTCAGATGGAGCGAACTGGCTGGGCTCGTTCTGTGAGCCGGTGCGCAGCTGGAACGGGCTTCTGTTGCGCAGACCCATCGACATGGAGAAGCGAGACCTGATCCAGAAAGGAGAGGCGAGTCTGCTGGACCTGCGCAGCTACATGTTCTCCCGCCAGTGCACACTGCTCATCTTCCTCATGAGGCCCTGGGAGGTCACGACCCGCGCACTCGAACTGCTGCACAACTGTGTGCAAGAGCTGCGTCTGCTGGAGGTGTGTGTGTGTGTGTGTGTGACAGTGCACACTGCTCATCTTCCTCATGAGGCCCTGGGAGGTCACGACCCGTGCACTCGAACTGCTGAACAACTGTGTGCAAGAGTTTGTTTCGGTGTGTTCCGGTGTGTTTCTGTGTGTGTGTGTGTGTGTTTGTTTCTCTGTGTGCGTTTGTGTGTGTTTCTCTGTGTGATGATGTGTGTGTGTGTGTGTTAGAGCCAGACCGATATATCGGCAGACCGATATTATCAGCCGATATTAGGCATTTTCCAAACTATCGGTATCGGCGGTTATAATGGCGATAAATTAATATTTCAAAAATAAAATAAAAACGGACGAAACACGTTTGAATCATGTCACGAGTGTTGGAGTTGTATAGTTTGTCCACCAGAGGGCGCTCTACACCGTTCCTGTTGGCAACTCTATTCATTGCTTGAATAACAATTAAAAGATCATCCCCATCAGTTCTTTGAACTCAAATAAGCAGGACAAAATTTGTGGCCGGCGGAAGTTTCCTTGGCCAGTTATATTGAAATTGTATGTTTTAGAATTTGCAGTATGACGTTATCCATTGCTAAATTATGGTTCATCATAGACTGGCTAACCATAAAGCTAGCTAACGCCACTATCATCAGTCTGTTCTGTTGTGACAATAAAAGAAACTTTTAGAAAGTTTCTTTTTAAAATGCATTATCATATTATTTTGTTTAAAACTCATAATTAACTAGAAATAACTAATGTTAGGGAAATCTGTTAATGTTTTGTTGCGCCTTTCTGAAATAAATTTTTTTTAATTTTTTAATTTTTTAAAACCAAAAAAATATTTGTATCGGTATCGGCCTTCAAAATCCTTTATCGGTTGGGCTCTAGTGTGTATTTCTCTGTGATGATGTGTGTGTTGTCTGCAGGTGTGTGTGGTGAGTGGCGCTCTGGACTGCTGGGTGTTTCTCAGTTGTCTGGAGGTTCTGCACAGGATCGAGGGCTGTTGCGATCGGGCTCAACTGGAGGCGAACGCCTCGCACACCGTGGGCCTGTGGACATACGCCACTGAGAAGGTGCGACACTTCCCTTCTAAAACAACATTTTTTATAAATCAGTGTCCTTTAGGGCACTCAGGGTGTGTGTTCAGACTCATCCCTTCACACATAAATATACATATTGCAAAATATATGCATGTTTAGCGTCACTGTTCGTCCGACTGTTACTGTACTTCATTTTATTTTTTATTCTAAATTGTTTTAATTATTTACTGTATTATTATGATTTTTTTTAATTCTAAACTGTTTTAATTATTCTGATTTCTTCTGATTATTTTAATTTCTTTCATGTAAAGCACTTTGAATTGCCACTGTGTATGAAATGTGCTATATAAATAAACTTGCATTGCCTATACTTAAAAACATCCAGCAAGCATGTGTTGATGTGTTGGCAGCTGAAGTCTCTGGGAGATCTGTGTGGTCTGATGTCCGAGAACGGCCCGAACTCTGAGGACCTGAACAAAACCGTGGACCTTCTGGCCGGACTGGGAGCAGAGAGACCTGAAACGGGTAATTATCCTCAAATATCATCTTTACATATGCCTTATTCACGGCAACCCCATCTTTGCTTAGCTAAAGAAAAAAAATATAATTAATAAATATATATATATATATATATATATATATATATATATATATATATAAAAATAAATATCTTTTTTTTTTAAATCGCAATACGCCTTATTCACGGCAGCGCCATCTTTGATTTTTAATGAGAATGAAAGCGAGGCTGTGAGGGATAGACTTGCATCTCTTCAATGGGCTGTACTGTTATTTAATGTGTTTTCGGATTGTTCTGCTCATGAAACTCTGGAAAAAAATATCTTTCAAAGAAATTTCCATTGACAAAAAATTCCCGACAACGTAAGCTGTGGAAAATTGTAAGTAATCTAGGAGCTTTATTTACAGCGGATACCTATCCCTCACAGCCTCACTTTCATACCTGTCCTGGCGCTGCTCTGAATAAGGTCTATTATCCTTAAATGAAAGCACTTTACATTATCCTCAAATGTGTGTGTAATCTCTCTCTCTCAGCGAACAGCCCTCAGAGTCCATATAAAAAACTCAAGGAGGCGCTGTCGTCCGTGGAGGCCTTCGAGAAACACTATCTGGTGAGCGTTCACTCACGATTAATCCACGTGTGTTTATTTTAGTGCTAGGGTTATTTTATGCATGATTTGTGAGAGTGTGTGTGTGTTCAGGAGCTATCTCACGCTGCGATGGAGATGTACAGGGCGATCGGGCGAATGCGTTCGGCTCGGCTGGTTGGGAAGAGTCTGGCCGAGTTCTACATGTGAGCGACGCATATCATATAAATCATATAATCCCTGACGGAAACGAAACAATTATAGCGCCCACAAGAGGGAGGCGGGTTGTATATGTGTGTGTTTAATCATGTGTGTGTGTGCAGGAGGAAAGGAGACCCTCAAAGTGCTGAGAACTTCCTTCTGGATTCTCTGAAGTCTTACGTGTCGGAGAGCTGGAGTTTGCCGCTCACACACACACGCAAGCAGATCGCGGAGTGTCAGAAGCAGCTGCAGAAGATGGACGAGTATCCTTCACTCGCGTCTGATCTTCTCATGTGTTTAACACGTGTTATTTATGAACATTATTTTATATCAAATATATATTTTATGAAACAAGTTGAACACTAAAACTGATATAAATTAAAAGCCATAAATCTAATCAAGTTGTTTTCCAAAATTGAGGATGATGTCACAACAAATGTGGGCGCAGTAACAGATGTTCCCCACTGGGTGCCAGCAAACTCCACTAGTCACACAGTGATTGGATTTTAGATTTGCAGTTGAGTTTTTCTCTCTCAAATATTACAAACACACACACACACATTTTTTTTATTACACGCATACCAACCACACTCAGACTTCCACACAATTATCGTTGCACAATTTATCCAAAATGCTTTGGAATAAGCAGTAAAGCGAGTATATGCTGTATAGACCAAACCTGTAAAAATCTGGCAAAAAATAGTCAAAAATTAAACATTTGAAGCCTTGCCAATAAAATGAAAGCTTCTTAACAAAGATTGCATCATTTTATAGTTAAATGGCCCTGGGATTAATTAAAGTATTCTGTGTGGCAAAATTGATTTTTTAAAGGGAATGGCGGTGAAATAGTAAAATTACAATAAAAATACACACCTGTGCCAAATTTCATGTGGTTAGCATAAAATAAATGTGTAAATTGTCAAGACAAAACACGTCCAATTGATAAACTTTCACTCTATGATAGTAATCACAACCTCATTGCACCCCTAGTGTTGTCTGTGGTGTGTGTGTGTGGTTTCTTTGACCGTGTGTGTGTAGATACCTGCAGACGAGCGCTCTGCTCGCCAGTGACGCCAACTTGAGCGATGAGGAGAGGAAGCACTTCTGCCAGGAGATCCTGAGCTTCGCCAGCCAGAACGCAGAGAGCAACGGTCAGTGTGTTCACCAAGTGCTAGTGCTAGTTTAGCTAGGGTTCGATTCCCAGGGAAAGCAAGAACTGATAAGAATTTAAATCTGTACCTTTTTTTAAATAGCACTCATATTTTTTTACAACAGCCACTGGCTGGCCAAAGTGCTTTACCGAACAGCAGAAACTATAACAAATTAGTACCTACATAACACAACACAAACGAGAGCAACGTTAAAACAGAAGTAGCTAAGCAGAATCAGACTCAATGGAAAATAGTAAAATAATGTGTAAATAATGTACAGGTGAAACTCGAAAAATCAGAAGACTCTGTGGGTTTTCATAAGCTGTAAGCCATAATCATCAAAATTATAACAAATAAAGGCTTGAAATATCTCTCTCTGCATGTAATGAGTCTGTATAATATATTAGTTTCACCTTTGAAGATGAATTACTGAAATAAATGAACTTTTCCACCATAATCGAATCTTTCGAGTTTCACCTGTAAGTCTCTTTGGATAAAAGCGTCTGCCAAATGCAGAAACTGCAAAACTATAAATGTGCTTCAGGTCACATGATGCTGGTTGCGGTGTCTCTCTCTCCTCATAGATGCGCGTGTGTCTCTGAGCATGAGCTCGTTCACTCGGCTCCACGAGCTGCGGTTCCGGCCCGCCTCGGCTCTGGTGCACGTTGGCGCCGCCCTGCAGTTGGAGTTGCGTCTCTGCAGTTTGATGCCCGTCCCCGTTCGGGTGGAGCATCTCTCCGCCAGCATCCACTTCTCCCTGGAGATGCCCGGCTCCACGGCTCAGAAACGGGCCCTCCAGAACCCGGACGGCACCGTCACGTTCCCGGGGGCCAGTGTGGTGTCGGGGTCCCCGGCGCTGGAGCTCTGCGAGATCCAGGAGCACAGCCCGTCGGAGGGCGCGCTGAACACGGCCGGCGTGGTGTGTAAGAACATGCACCTGCTGATGCGGGTCCAGGACAGCGCCCCCTCTCTGGAGACGCCCGTCACTGCAGCGGCTCCTCTCGCCGTGGAGGATGGGGCGCAGATGCTGGAGGCCGATGATGTCACGCTGGTGCCCGGCAACAACAGCATCGTCTTCACCGCACCCGTGAGACGAAACCTTGCGTTTGAGAAAATTGTTTGCATGAAAAGCTCATCATTTAATTAAATTTATTAAAAATAAAAAATGGAAAAAATGGAAAAATTACAGGTGAGATTTGACAAATTAGAATATTGTGCAAAAGTTCATTTATTTCAGTAATTCAACTTAAAAGGTGAAACTAATATGTTATATAGACTCATTACATGCACAGTGAGATATCTCAAGTCTTTATTTGTTATAATTTTGATGATTATGGATCACAGCTTATGAAATCCACAAAGTCAAAATTAGAATATTGTGAAAATGTTTTTAATGAGCTGCGATAATCATCACAATTATAACAAATAAAGGCTTGAAATATCTCACTTTGTATGTAATGAGTCTATATAATATATTAGTTTCACCTTTTAAGTTTGCACCATATTCTAATTATTTGAGTTTCACTTGTATGTGTATATATATATATATATTTTAATTATTTATTTTAAAATATACATTTTATTTGTTTGCCTGTATGTCATGTATCCATAAACTGACATCAGAGAACCGTGAAGTATGTCTGTATTGAAGTATGATTATTAAATATTTTGGGTAAAAGGGTTTCGACTGAATCTCTGGATTGTTTGTATAAATGTGTGTGATTTTCTTGAATGAAGTCCGTGATCTCCCCAGAGCCAGAAGCCGGGCACGTACACACTCCGCCAGCTGTGTGCGTCTGTAGGCCGGGTCCAGTTCGTTCTGCCGCACATTTACCCTGTGGTTCAGTATGAGGTTTATTCCCAGGAGCCTCAGCTCACCATCCAGCCTCTCACAGGTCAGTCGCTCACACACACACACACACACACACACACATGAGTGTCCGTGTCCTCATCGCTCATTCAGGAATCTTTTTCAGACCTGATGTGTGTGTCCTGTGTTCTCAGAGACTCTAACGTTGTGTGTGTGTGTGTGTGTGTTCTCAGAGACCCTGTTGGCCGGGTTACCTCAGCAGGTGAAGTTCACGATCCTGACGGGTCACTACAACGTGAAGAAGGGCGACGCTCTTCAGCTCAGCAACACAGACTCAATGCCAGTGCTTCACTCGTGCTCCTGCTCCGCCCGCATCATCAGCAGCAGCGGAGGTGAGACACACACACACACACTCACACAAACTTCACTTCTGAGAACATTTGTAAAGGGTCTGTAGACAAAATAGGCATTTAATTTATAAACATGCTACACAGATTCAGTGTGTTCAATAAGAAACAGGTGTGCTGAATAAATATCAGAGAATGTCTAATTGAAGAGAATCGGCACTGGCTGGTTACTTCCGGGTTCTGGACTGGCTGCAGTAACGCGTCTCTGTCCATGTGGGGGCGCTCGCGGTCGAGTGCAGAATGAATGGGAGTCAATGGGGTTTCACCCCCAAAAATCCACTTTTCTCAGGATGTAATTTTTTGTCAAGTAATTTGAAAGTTGCATTCAAAAGGGAGGGCTAAGAAAATACACTCAGATGAAAATTGCATTTTTAAGTTCACTTATCGGTTCTAAAAATCTGTTCAAAGATGTGATGACGTCACACAATAGCAGAATGCTAGCGTGTTCGGCCAACAACGGCCTAACCTGTAAGAAATCAAAAGGACATAAGTACTCGTTCATTCGACTTTTGGCCTATAATCTATATTGAACTTGCGGAATCAACAATAAAATCTGTGTTAATTTAACGACAAGCAGGTGAAAGAGACACATTTAGCCGTTTAGCCCCATAGACTCCCATTCATTCTGCTCTCGCCCGTGATCACCCCCAGTGGAATTATAATGAACTGCAACCAATATAATACACAAGACTCTCCGTTAGACGGGCTCTGATAAATACAGTGTTTTGCTTCTTTTTATGTTTATATTTATTAAGGACTATGAGAGCAAAGCCTAAACTGGGGTGTGTGTGTGTGTGTGTGTCTCAGAGCTGGTGTGTGAGAGCGCTCTGTCCATCCAGTCGTCTGAGAAGGTGACGAGCATCTCTCTTCCTCTGACGCCGCCCTATCACACGCTGGAGTTCCTCCTGGACGTGCTGTGCCATATCCCAGCATGCCCTGCGCGGGGCGAGAGCGATCACCTGACCAACGGCCAGATCAGCCACCGGTCGCGCAGCAGAACGCGCTTCACCAGCGGATCGGCACTCATCGACCAGAAGGTTCGAGACGCGCGCACACTGTGTTAGCTTTATCTAGCTGATATCATCAGCCGTGATCTTAGCTGCTATGAATCTGTCATGTCATGAAATCAAACTTCAAAATTTAATTTTATTATCATATTCCAGTAACTATATATCATATTTTAATAAAAATACAGACACCATTTATAAATATTTAAATCTAAACATATATTTTTTAGATTTAAATATATATATATATATATGTGTGTGTGTGTGTGTGTGTTTGAGTGTATAGTATATAAAAGAGAAAATTTATTTACTGTCATAGAAGTTTGAAATTGTGGTTTCATGCCTGAAAAAATCCAAATAATGAATATAATAAATATTTATAAAAATAATAAATATACAAAGAATGTCACTGAAGCCTGTGTGTGTGTGTGTGTTGCAGGTGTCTGTTGATTGTCCCTGGTCCATTTACTCGACGCTGGTCTCTCTCACCTTCCACGTGCCGTTTAAAGTCAAGCACTCGCTGCTGTCTGTGGGACGCAGGTACTGACCCTGACCCTTCACGACCCCTCATGGTCACTATAGCAACCAGTGCAGTGCTCTGATGCGTGTCCTGTCTGCTTTCATCCTAACAGGAAGTTCATCCAGGTTTGTCTTCAGAATGTGTCCGGCACTAAGTTTCAGCTGACCAATCAAACGCTAGCGGAGACCCAGCACACGCCGTCACTGGAGCTGCTCTCGCTCAACACTCAGACACACAGCGTGAGTCATACACACACTCTGATTGGCCCTAGAGGAGGTCTGGGATGTTTATAACTAGTAATATATCGAAATATTGCGATATGCATATCGCAACGGCTTGCAATTACTGGGTTATGAACAAAAGACGCTCACTCACTGCTCTCGTCTCGGCTGAATAACTCCTGTAGCTTTAATACGAATCTGTGCATGTTTAATTCATACAGTGAAAACTAAGCAGTGTTTTAGTTTTATATTTGATCATTACTAACAAAGCAACATTATTTTAAAATATTACAAATAAAAATAAATCAATTGCCACTGTGTGTGTGTTCAGGTGGTGTTCAGTCAGCAGTGTGTGTTCAGCGTGTGGGAGCTGCGCTGGAGCGACGCCCCTCCTCTCTCTCTGCAGTGTGTGTTCTCGGCCAGCTTCGCTCCCGCAGACGCGCCGGACGCCGATCTCAAACCCTACAGATACGAGTTCACGGTGGAGCGAGTTTCAGTGAGTCTCGTACCTCACACACTGACGTTTCATTTAATATTCAGCAATATTATTGATCTGCTGCATTGACAGCATTATATGAGAACTGTGTTGAGCTGGACGATGACATACACATAATTTTTTATTTTTTTTTTACAACAAAATGAATCCTTACTGATCTTACTTAAAGGGGCGGTTGTTTATGATGTCACTTGTCTTGCTGTAGTGAGTGTGTAATGTTGCTCAAAAAATAAAGCTCAAAGCAAAGAGAGAGATTTACTGAACACGGTTTATAGATGATCATAGCAGAATATGCTAATATATGGGTAACTCCACATCAGCTGCATAAACTAACCGTTCAGAAATGTCCTGTTGCTTCTACATGTCGGCACTTCTAGAGTCGCTCATCTTTGACTCCGCTTTCAACATTAAAGGATAAACGCTTTTGAAATGTTCAGGACACACTAGCTCTCGAAGCTCCGCCCCCTGTGCCGGGAGCAGAAGCTCATTTGCATTTAAAGGGACACGCACAAAAACGGTGTGTTGTTGCTCACCCTCAAAAAGTGACAATTTTAACATGTTATATAAATATCTGTGGGGTATTTGAGCTGAAACTACACACACACACACTCTGGGAACATCAGAGACTTATTTTACATCTTGTGAAAGGGCATTACACCACCTTTTTAGCTGGACTGTGACAGTATTTTTTTCTGGAAACAAATTTTGCTGCATTATTTTCCTGTTACCTCTGTAAAGCTGCTTTGAAACACTGTGTTGTATAATAAAGCAGATCGCAGCGTCAGGTCAATGCTTCAGGTGTTTCTGTGTGTGTGTTAGACTCTGTACAGCGTGCGAGCGGAGATCTGTCCCCCTGCAGGCGAACAGCACTGTCGCACCGGCGCCCTCTGCAGGCTGGAGGTGTGTCTCACACGCCTCACTGAACCCAGTGACGCGGACCCAGAGGATGAGGAGCTCAGCGAGAGCGAAGGCCTGCGCACCGCCAGACTCATGTATGAAGGTACGACACACTCGCCTGTCGCAAAAATGCTGAATTAACTAATAAATATTTTTAAAATATTACAAATATGAAAATATCACTAAACAAAATTGGTATTTTTATTTTATTTTACATGGTTTCCAAACTGGTATTTGAGAGTTGATGAAAAACTAGAAATTAATTAAAGCATAAAAATGTCATTCATTAATAAATCATACATTTATTTATATATATATATATATATATATATAGTTTTACAAACTGGTGTTTGTGAGGTGATGAAAAAGTAGAAATTAATTGAATTATAAAAATGTCAAATTAATCAATTAAAAATATACAAATACTTAATTTAATTTAAATAATTGATTTATTAATTAATTTAGCATTTTTATGATTTAATATATCAAATATATTTTTAAATGTTAGTGATTAATTTTTATTTGTAATATTTACTAATTATTTATTAATTAATTTGCCATTTTTACTATTTAATTAATTACTTGTTTTTCCATTAACTCACAAACCCCAGCTTGAAAAACATCCAAATAAAAATAAATCACTAAATTAAATATTTCATATTTTATGTTATTCAAGCTGAGGTTTTTGAGTTAATGAAAAAAAAGTAATTAATAAAATAGCAAAAATGCCTAATTAATAAATAAATAATTGGTAAATATTACAAATAAAAATGAATGATTATCAAATAATATATATATTTTATGTTTTCCAAAATAGTGTTTGTGAGTTAATGAAAAGCTAATAATAATTCAATCATAAAAATGTCAAATTAATGAATAAATTATTTAAAAAAATATTACAAATAAAAATAAATCAACGCCCAACAAAAAAATGAAATATTTAATTGTTGACCTGCATGTCATGTGACCATTAACCAACATCAGAGAACCGTGAACGTGATTGTGTTGTTAAATATTAATTTACATTAATTTAATATTTGAACCCAAAGGTATGAATTCTTTCCCCATCATTGCTGTGGAATTGTTTTGTATGGATTTTAAATATAAAACTGCAATAATTATCTGCATTATAATTAAGAAAAATGTATAAAATATTAAAGGATGTCAACTTTCCAATTAAATAAACACACTGAAGTTTTTTATTATTATTATTATTTTTATATATCATCATTTTGAAAACATAAAACAGTTTAGGCTTATCTGTGTGTGTGTGTGTGTGTGTGTGTCTGCAGTGATTGACAACCACAGTAACTGGGCGGTGTGTGGCAAGAGTTCAGGGGTCGTGTCTATGCCGACGGCTGCCATGGCGACACACAAGGTTCACATGGAGGTCATGCCACTGTTCGCGGGTCGGCTGCCGTTCCCCAACATCCGTGTGTTCAAGTACCGGCCACATCACGCCAGCGCCACGCAACCCGACTCAGGTCCGGCCACACACACACACACACACACAGCCCGACACTTTTTTTCCCCATTCATCAGTTGTATTTGCCATAATTTAACAGACTTTTATTTTGGCGGTTCATAGTGAAGGTCGTTTGTCTCAAGATTCAACATTCAGATAGCTTTATTGGCGTGGTGAAAGACATCTGCACATTACATTCATAACACTATACAATAAATATAATATATAATGATATATATAATGATATAATGATGATGATAATATCTTAAAAATATATTATAATATTTAATAATAATATAATAATATAATTATTTAATAATATATATATAAAAAAAAAACAGCAGTAAAAATGTTTAATCTCCTAATATGTAAATCAGTATCTCTGGGCGTCTCAGTGCGTCTCTCTCTGATTGATTTGAGTGTGTTGATTGGTCCTGACTGGTGTGTGTGTGCTCCCTCAGACTCGTGTGTGGAGAACGACAGTGTGTCTCTGCTGGATAAAGCGGTGGAGGATCACCTGGACACGGCGAGTCTGCGCAGCCGCGGGAGCGTTCAGTCTCTGGGCGAGCAGCCGGCGCGGGGCGTCCCCATGCCCAAACGCCAGGCCTTCGCCCCGGGTCAGGTGTTCACCGGCACACAGGGCCGCCAGGTGCTCGTGCTGCCCGCCAACGACCAGCACCTGCTCGAGGTCAACGTCACATGACCCCCGCGGCCGCCCTCAGGGGCTCACACTCTTACTCCGTCACACAGACACTCGACGGCAGCCCTCAGACATCCCATCATGCCTTGCAGCCCCTACTCTCCGTGCTCAGGTGTGTGTGTGTTTGTGTGTGTATGATGAGAGCGCCACCTGCTGTACATACTGTTCAATACATAGAGGATATTTAAAGAACAAACTCACTGGGATTTCGGGATTTAGGTATCCAACTTTTTTATTTTTTTGAAGGGGAAATGATGTCGTTGATGTTACATTTGCGCTTTATTGACAGTGTTGTTTTGAACACGCCCCTTCCTGCTGACATCAGATGATTGATGTGTCGCCCGAATGATCACGTTCACACGAACCGGATCACAATAAATGTGTGTGTCATGCGATGTTGAAGAACGGTCATATTTCTGGTCACGAGCAAACAAAGTTCAGCTTTTTTCTTTGTTTTTGGTTTTTTTTTGTGCATTTTTTTTTACTATTTTCATGAAAATGTAAATCCCGCGGAACATTTGTAAATCAACGTCATTTATAAATTCTATATATAATAATTTTTATTTGCCATTCATATAAGTAAACATCCCACTGGTTGTATTTGTTATAATGCCAAAAACTGGATTTTTATATTAAAATGATTAAAATTATACATTAAAATCACACACACACACACACACACACACACACACGCACAAGGAATGTTTTTGCTTAGTCATCATAATTTTGGGGAAAAAAGTGCCATTGTCATAATGCACAACAAAAAAACTCTTGATTTTGGGGTGAAATGTGAGCTGTGTGTGTATATGTGTGATGTCACAGATGGAAGTTTGAGCCTGTAAACACTAACGAGTGTGTGTGATTTAATCGGGGGCGTCTGAAACACACACACACACCTCTCCTGATCTCCAGCAATTGTGAGGTTTAGGAGGAAGTGATGCGTTTCTCTGCTGTGAATGGTTGCTCTCATCCGTCTCTGTCTCGTGTGTGTGTGTGTGTGTGTGTGTGTGTGTGGTATGTGTTTCTATCCTGAGAAAGCCTCCTCTGAAAGGCTCACACTGATCTCATCCACTGCTCAGTATTTATCCCGGATCAGGACTCTGGACTCACACACTTCGGGTGCCGCACGGGATGCTGGGATTCGGCCTGTGACGTCGTGAACACACACTGTTTGTTTGTAAATTGTCGATCAAACATCACAGATTGTATTTAGATTATTTAAATGAGAAGAATATGTACGCATTATACAACTGAAAATATACATATGTTTTAAAAGGGTGTTTGTCGTCTTGTTTTTCTATAAAATAAAACTACTTTTGTTTGTTTGTTTAACAGATCTCCACTCTCAGGATTCTAGATCGTCGCTCATTTTAAATAAAACAAAAACTAAAGCCAGTGTTTTATATTTCTGTGAAAGACTTAGCCAAAAATAAAACAAAGTAGAAACGAAAAAAAGCTGAATCACAAAAGTAGCTTTTAACTACATTTTCATGAGCAAGAATGGTTAGACTTTTAATCATCGAAATGTTTTTTTTTAATGCTTGTTTATAAAATTGAAAAGCTTCGAAAGTCGCTTCAGTATGATGACATCACTGAATGCATATTCATTTAGTTGCTTCTGAAATTAAGGGTGAAACATCAAAACAATTCACATTTAAAAAATTTTTTTCAGGAATTATGAAATAGCTTAATTAAAAATTAAGATAATAATTAATTAATATAATTAAGAAAAAAATTAAGATAATATTTAATTAACCCATTCAGACCCTGTGTCCATTACAATGGACATCACATGTCAGCCCCCTTTTTTAACTTCTGGAGCATTTCACCTAGTTTAAAGCCTGGAGTCCATGAGATTGGACGTTTGTCATCGAATCAAATGGCAGTAAAGCTCTGCATGTAGTAATTATATAAAAAAAAGAAAACTCTACATTGAAGAGAAGCATGGCAGCACTTCACTCCAAACACAGACGCAAGCAACATTTTCTAAGGTGTATTTACATTTTGTATATATTTTTGCCAGTACTTCATAGTTTGTATGTAAAATAGAAAGATTGAACTTATTAATTAACGTTAAAAATCGACTGTAGAATTGCACGTTTTAAATCAGAATTTTTTTTAAATGTGTCTGTCCATTAGAATGGACAGTAGGTTTGAAAGCCTGACACTGAAGTCACATTTTCAGTGATGCTGATTGAAATTTCTTTTATAAAAAAAATTATATACATCACAGTACCGATACATTTTTGAAACTTGTTCATGTGCAGAATATACCCCTGGTTATGTTCAGGGTACCCCTGTGGTTTTTTTTCGGGTCGAAGTTTTGAGTTTCTCTGATCATCTTGAAACTCTGGATTCTGATAGAGGGCCATGAGACTTAGACCTGAGTGCAAAAATGGAGGCTCTAGACCCTTCCAGAGCTGAGATATTGAAACTCAAAAATTCGACCCAAAAAAAAAAAACCGACAGTGTTACCCCTTTTGTTTTTTTGTGTTTTGGGCGAAAAATGAAGTTTCTCCAATCTTCTCAAAACTCTGGATTCTGATAGAGGGCCATGAGACTTAAACCTGAGTGCAAAAATGGAGGCTCTAGACCCTTCCAGAGCTGAGATATTGAGATCTCACGTAGCATTTATGCCATTATAAATATCTCAATATCTCAGCTCTGGAAGGGTCTAGAGCCTCCATTTTTGCACTCAGGTTTAAGTCTCATGGCCCTCTATCAGAATCCAGAGTTTTGAGAAGATTGGGGAAACTTAATTTCTCGCCCGAAAAAAAAAAACGAAAGGGGTACCACTGTCGTTTTTTTTTTTGGTCGAAATTTTGAGTTTCGATATCTCAGCTCTGGAAGGGTCTAGAGCCTCCATTTTTGCACTCAGGTTTAAGTCTCATGGCCCTCTATCAGAATCCAGAGTTTTGAGAAGATTGGGGAAACTTAATTTTTCGCCCGAAAAAAAAAAACGAAAGGGGTACCACTGTCGTTTTTTTTTTTGGTCGAAATTTTGAGTTTCGATATCTCAGCTCTGGAAGGGTCTAGAGCCTCCATTTTTGCACTCAGGTTTAAGTCTCATGGCCCTCTATCAGAATCCAGAGTTTTGAGAAGATTGGGGAAACTTAATTTTTTGCCCAAAAAAAAAAACGTAAGGGGTAACACTGTCGTTTTTTTTTCGGGTCGAATTTTTGAGTTTCGATATCTCAGCTCTGGAAGGGTCTAGAGCCTCCATATTTGCACTCAGGTTTAAGTCTCATGGCCCTCTATCAGAATCCAGAGTTTTGAGAAGATTGGGGAAACTTTTTTTTCGCCCCCCCCAAAAAAACGTAGGGGGTAACACTGTCGTTTTTTTTCCGGGTCGAATTTTTGAGTTTCGATATCTCAGCTCTGGAAGGGTCTAGAGCCTCCATATTTGCACTCAGGTTTAAGTCTCATGGCCCTCTATCAGAATCCAGAGTTTTGAGAAGATTGGGGAAACTTAATTTTTTGCCCCAAAAAAAAAACAAAAGGGGTAACACTGTCGTTTTTTTTTCCGGGTCGAATTTTTGAGTTTCGATACCTCAGCTCTGGAAGAGTCTAGAGCCTCCATTTTTGCACTCAGGTTTAAGTCTCATGGACCTCTATCAGAATCCAGAGTTTTGAGAAGATTGGGGAAACTTTTTTTTTCGCCCAAAAAAAAAAAACGTAAGGGGTAACACTGTCGTTTTTTTTTTTAGGTCGAATTTTTGAGTTTCGATATCTCAGCTCTGGAAGGGTCTAGAGCCTCCATTTTTGCACTCAGGTTTAAGTCTCATGGCCCTCTATCAGAATCCAGAGTTTTGAGAAGATTGGGGAAACTTTATTTTTTGCCCAAAAAAAAAACGTAAGGGGTAACACTGTCGTTTTTTTTTTCGGGTCGAATTTTTGAGTTTCGATATCTCAGCTCTGGAAGGGTCTAGAGCCTCCATTTTTGCACTCAGGTTTAAGTCTCATGGCCCTCTATCAGAATCCAGAGTTTTGAGAAGATTGGGGAAACTTTTTTTTCGCCCAAAAAAAAAAACGTAAGGGGTAACACTGTCGTTTTTTTTTTCGGGTCGAATTTTTGAGTTTCGATATCTCAGCTCTGGAAGGGTCTAGAGCCTCCATTTTTGCACTCAGGTTTAAGTCTCATGGCCCTCTATCAGAATGCAGAGTTTTGAGAAGATTGGGGAAACTTTTTTTTCGCCCCAAAAAAAAAAACGTAAGGGGTAACACTGTCGTTTTTTTTTTCGGGTCGAATTTTTGAGTTTCGATATCTCAGCTCTGGAAGGGTCTAGAGCCTCCATTTTTGCACTCAGGTTTAAGTCTCATGGCCCTCTATCAGAATCCAGAGTTTTGAGAAGATTGGGGAAACTTCATTTTTCGCCCAAAAAAAAAAAACGTAAGGGGTAACACTGTCGTTTTTTTTTTCGGGTCGAATTTTTGAGTTTCGATATCTCAGCTCTGGAAGGGTCTAGAGCCTCCATTTTTGCACTCAGGTCTAAGTCTCATGGCCCTCTATCAGAATCCAGAGTTTTGAGAAGATTGGGGAAACTTATTTTTCGCCCAAAAAAAAAAAACGTAAGGGGTAACACTGTCGTTTTTTTTTCGGGTCGAATTTTTGAGTTTCGATATCTCAGCTCTGGAAGGGTCTAGAGCCTCCATTTTTGCACTCAGGTTTAAGTCTCATGGCCCTCTATCAGAATCCAGAGTTTTGAGAAGATTGGGGAAACTTAATTTTTCGCCCAAAAAAAAAAAACGTAAGGGGTAACACTGTCGTTTTTTTTTCGGGTCGAATTTTTGAGTTTCGATATCTCAGCTCTGGAAGGGTCTAGAGCCTCCATTTTTGCACTCAGGTTTAAGTCTCATGGCCCTCTATCAGAATCCAGAGTTTTGAGAAGATTGGGGAAACTTTTTTTTCGCCCCCAAAAAAAAAACGTAAGGGGTAACACTGTCGTTTTTTTTTCGGGTCGAATTTTTGAGTTTCGATATCTCAGCTCTGGAAGGGTCTAGAGCCTCCATTTTTGCACTCAGGTTTAAGTCTCATGGCCCTCTATCAGAATCCAGAGTTTTGAGAAGATTGGGGAAACTTTATTTTTTGCCCAAAAAAAAAAAAACGTAAGGGGTAACACTGTCGTTTTTTTTTTCGGGTCGAATTTTTGAGTTTCGATATCTCAGCTCTGGAAGGGTCTAGAGCCTCCATTTTTGCACTCAGGTTTAAGTCTCATGGCCCTCTATCAGAATCCAGAGTTTTGAGAAGATTGGGGAAACTTTTTTTTGCCCCAAAAAAAAAACGTAAGGGGTAACACTGTCGTTTTTTTTTCGGGTCGAATTTTTGAGTTTCGATATCTCAGCTCTGGAAGGGTCTAGAGCCTCCATTTTTGCACTCAGGTTTAAGTCTCATGGCCCTCTATCAGAATCCAGAGTTTTGAGAAGATTGGGGAAACTTAATTTTTTGCCCAAAAAAAAAAAACGTAAGGGGTAACACTGTCGTTTTTTTTTCGGGTCGAATTTTTGAGTTTCGATATCTCAGCTCTGGAAGGGTCTAGAGCCTCCATTTTTGCACTCAGGTTTAAGTCTCATGGCCCTCTATCAGAATCCAGAGTTTTGAGAAGATTGGGGAAACTTTTTTTTCGCCCCCCCAAAAAAAACGTAAGGGGTAACACTGTCGTTTTTTTTTCGGGTCGAATTTTTGAGTTTCGATATCTCAGCTCTGGAAGGGTCTAGAGCCTCCATTTTTGCACTCAGGTTTAAGTCTCATGGCCCTCTATCAGAATCCAGAGTTTTGAGAAGATTGGGGAAACTTAATTTTTTGCCCAAAAAAAAAACGTAAGGGGTAACACTGTCGTTTTTTTTCGGGTCGAATTTTTGAGTTTCGATATCTCAGCTCTGGAAGGGTCTAGAGCCTCCATTTTTGCACTCAGGTTTAAGTCTCATGGCCCTCTATCAGAATCCAGAGTTTTGAGAAGATTGGGAAACTTAATTTTTCGCCCAAAAAAAAAACGTAAGGGGTAACACTGTCGTTTTTTTTCGGGTCGAATTTTTGAGTTTCGATATCTCAGCTCTGGAAGGGTCTAGAGCCTCCATTTTTGCACTCAGGTTTAAGTCTCATGGCCCTCTATCAGAATCCAGAGTTTTGAGAAGATTGGGGAAACTTATTTTTTCCCAAAAAAAAAAACGTAAGGGGTAACACTGTCGTTTTTTTTTTCGGGTCGAATTTTTGAGTTTCGATATCTCAGCTCTGGAAGGGTCTAGAGCCTCCATTTTTGCACTCAGGTTTAAGTCTCATGGCCCTCTATCAGAATCCAGAGTTTTGAGAAGATTGGGAAACTTTTTTTTCGCCC